AGACAGTCCTTGTTAAGAAAAGAGACTTCAGCATAAGTACTGTATACTGGTTCTGTCTTCCTCATTAAAAAAAAAAACAGCTTTATTGAGATATAATCTGCATATCAAACCTTTTTTTTTTTTTTTAAATAGGCTCCACAATGGGCATGGAGTCTAACACCGGGCTTGAACTCGCAACCCTGAGATCAAGAGTGAGGCACTTAACCAACTGAGCCACCCAGGCGCCCCTCAATTCATTCAAGTGCACAATTCCATAATTTATAGCAAATGTATAGAGTTGTGCAACCATCCCCACAATCTAATTTTAGAACATTTCCATCACCCCCAAAAGATCCCTTATGCTCATTTGCAGTCACTCCCCATTCCCACCCACACTCCCAGGTCTGGGTGTGTCCTTATGTGGTAAGAAACTTTGCAGACATGATTAAGGATCTTCAGATGAGGAAATTATTTTGGATTATCAAAGTGGGCCCGATGTAATCACAGAGTCATTGTAAAGGAAAAGGGGAGATAAAAGAAAGTGTCAGGTGATGCAGCATGAGAAAGACTCGTCTGGCGCTGGCTATTGAAGATGGGGGGAGGCCATGAGTCAGGGAGTGAAGGCAGCCTCTGGAAAAGGCAAGGAGTTGCCTCCTAGGGCCTCCAGAAGGAATATAATCCTGCCAATACCTTGATTTTAAACCAGTGAGACCCATTTTGGACTCCTGACCTTCAGAACTATCAGAGAATAAGTTTTTGTTATTTTCAACGGTCACGTTAATGGTACAGCAGCCATAGGAAACCAACACACTGGATCGTAAGGTAATCCTAGCTTCACTTTCATGTTACAGACTCATTTAGGGACACATTGGTGGATGGGCTTAAGAGCACAATTTGCCAGGTGTAATGGTTCAAATCCAGCTCTACTACTTATTGTATGCCATCTTGAGTAAGTTCTTCAAGGTTGTGCATTCCTCAGCTGCTCCATCTATAAAATCGAGTTAATAAAAATACCACCCTTGCATTCTGTTATGAGGATTAAATGAATTAGTTGAGTGGGACTTAGTATAACATCTGGCATGTGGGAAGCACTACACAGAATAATTTACTCTTATCATTACTCACGTGGTCTTCCCCAAACCAAGTAAATAATAATAACCTGTCCTAGAGGTGAAATGAAAAATCTACTTAAACCTTTCAAAAGATGTTTTCTTCCTCCCAGCAAGCCAATTAAAATCTCTAAGTTCTTTTTAAAAATTTTTTTTAAAGATTTTATTTATTTGAGAGAGAGAGAGAGAAAGAGAGAGCACAAGCAGGGGGAGAGGCAGAGGAAGAAGCTGAGCAGGAAGCCTGACTTGGGGCTCAATCCCAGGACCATGAGATTATGCCCTGAGCCAAAGGCAGAGCAACTGAGCCACCAAAGCACCCTAAAATTTCCAAGTTCTTAAGACCAAGTTTGCCCTAGAGCTCAAGCTAAAGGCTTCAAGAAAGTCCCCTCCTTAGAGAATTATCTTTGAGAAGAATGCTTTGCCCAAGCTCCTAGCTGTGGAAGACGTTGGAGCTCCAAAAAGCTCTTGGCAGTTCTAGTCCCTTCCAGCACATCTGGCTCAGAAATCACTGCTTCGTCCATGGACAGCAATGTGTTATGTGTTTTAATCCAGTCCCTCAAAACATTCTTAAGCACCTAGCAAATGTTGGCTGAATACCAAATAAATAAATGAATGGGAGCTGACCAGAAGAGACCTCTGGTTCAAACTTCTGGTGATCTTCTTTCCAGAATAGATGAAGACCCTTTTTTGCCCTTGGGTATAAAATTTTGGAACTGGAATAACTTTGGAGGTGATATGGCCCAGGACCCTGGTTTTGCAAATAAAGGAACTGGGATACTGAAGGAAACATGACACCTAAGAGTATGCGGCAAGTTGGCCACCAAGCAAGACTTGAACACGGCTCTTCTGTTTTTCAGCCCAGATGCCTCTCTAGATGTTGCGACAGGTGAAAGAGTAAGACTGGACTAAATGGGCTGATCTCAGGTCATGCCCTCAAAATGACTTGCCGAATCAAGTTCCCAGTATCACCTTGTTTCATTTTCTTATACTTCCTCTCCCAACTAAAGCTTCTTTTTTAATTTTAGGGTTCATTAATCAAAGAAATGCTATCAGTATTATCTCTTTTCACATCGTCTATCTTCAGCCCTCAGTGAGCATGAAAAGACATTGGCAAAAGCCACTGTTATCTTTGGCAGATTTGGAAGAACCCATGACTTCCCCAAACCAGGGCTGAATTGCATAAATAGTAAGGCTGGCTTGTGATGTTCAGCAGAACACAGAGACAATAATTAACGTGAATTCAAAAAATAAAACTAGTTAACAGGAGGCCAGAGTTCCTCTTTTTCCTTCTTTCTCTACAGTAAAGCACTTGGTTAAATGAGAAACTGCTGACTGAGCAGCTAAAAAAATCAAAACAGGAAGCAGTAAATGGCTAACAAAGCACTGTATTTAAGAAGAAGACCTCAGACACCTTCATGTATTCATAGATGAGTGGACAGGCCCTGACTCAATGAAAAGTTATGCAGAGTACACGAATACACTCAAAGCTCATTCTCTTAAGGAGACTTTATGAGAATAAACTCCTGGGGCCCCTTACTTTCCCTTATATCATTCAGGGAAGGAGTAACTTTATCACATGTATAGATTCATGTAACCACCACCACAATCAAAATTTCAAGATACAGAACTATCTCATCAACACAAAAGAACTCTTGAAAACATAATCTTGGGGGCGCCTGGGTGGCTCAGTCGGTTAAGCGGCTGCCTTTGGCTCAGGTCATGATCCTGGAGTCCCAGGATCGAGTCCCGCATCGGGCTCCCTGCTCAGCAGGGAGTCTGCTTCTCCCTCTGACCCTCCCCTCTCTCATGCTCTCTGTCTCATTCTCTCTCTCAAATAAATAAATAAAATCTTAAAAAAAAAAAAAAAAAAGAAAACATAATCTTGGAGCACCAAGGTGGCTCAGGCGGTTAAGCATCCAACTCTTATTTCGGCTCAGGTCATGATCTCAGGGCTGTGGAATCAAGCACCACATTGGGCTCCACACTGAGTGTGGAGCCTGCTTAAGGTTCTCTCTTTTACTCTCCTTTTGCCCCCTCCCCCGCTCACACTTTCTCTCTCTCTCAAGAAAAAAAATAAAAGCATAATCTTAGCACTATTATCACCCTAAATGAATAATTCCTTAATATCACCAAAATCCAGCCATTGTTCAAATTTCCCATTATTTCTTTTTCTTTTTGTTTGTTTGAAACAATATCCAAGTAAGATCCATACATAGATACATATGAATCTGTAGGTCTCTCTATCTCTGTCTCTCCTTCTTGTTTTTGTCATAGTTTCTGATTTTTATTTTCAAATGTGTTTGTTGAGGGAAGCAATTTGTCCTATAGAGTCTCTCATTTTGGATTTTGCTGATTATATCTCTATGGTGTTAACATGTTCCTCCCTGAAGGCTTAATAAGATTCAGATTCTAATTTTTGAGGAGAATATTTCTTCAGGAAGCACCTCATGCCTGGTTACCTCTCTCTTTTTTAAGTAACAGCTTTATTTTTTTAAAAAGATTTTATTTATTTATTTATTTATTTATTTATTTATTTATTTATTTATTTATGAGAGCACAAGCAGGGAGAGTGGCAGGCAGAGGGAGAAGCAGGCTCCCCACTCAGCAAGGAGCCTGATGCGGGACTCAATCCCAGGACCCTGGGGTCATGACCTGAGCCAAAGGTGAGCGCTTAACCAACTGAGCCACCCAGACGTCTCAAGTAACAGCTTTATTGATATAAATTCACATACAATAAATTCACTCTTTGAAACATATGCAATTCTGTGGTTTTTACCATATTCACAAAGTTGTGCAACCAACACCCCACTATTTAATTCCAGAATTAGATAGAATTCCATTACCCTAGAAAGAAATCGCATACCCATTGGCAGTCACTCCCCAATCTCTTCCACCTCCACCCCCTGCAAACACTAATCTACTTCCTGTCACTATGTTTGCCTACTCTGTACATTTCACATACAGTTGACCCTTGAACAATGCAGGGTCTGGGGGGGCTGGCCTCCCATGCAGTTGAAACTCCATGTATAAGTTTTAACGCCCCCAAAACTTAACTACTAATAGACTTCTCTTGACTGGAAGCCTTACTGATAACATAAAGAGTCGATTAAATATTTAGTATGTTATATGTATTATATATTATATTCTTGTAAAGTAAGCTAGAAAAAAGAAAACATTATTAAGAAAATCATAAGGGAGGGAAAATACATTTATAGTATTGTGCTGTATTTATATAAAAAAAAAAATCTGTGTGTAAGTGGACCTGCACCATTCAAACCTGTGTTGATCAAGGGTCAGCTGTAAGGAATCATGCAATATGTGTTCTTTTGTATCTGGATTTTTTTAAAATTTTATTTATTTATTAGAGAGAGAGAGAGTAAGAGCAGGGGGAGCAGCAGAGGGAGAGGGCTGAGCGTGGAGGCCAACTCGGGGCTTGATCCCACGACCCCAAGGTCACAACCTGAGCTGAAATCAAGAGTTAGATGCCACACCGACTGAGCCATCCAGGTGCCCCTTGTGTCCGGATTTTTTTTTCAAGATTTTATTTATTTATTTGACAGAGAGAGAGTGCACAAGCAGGGGGAGTGGCAGGCAGAGGGAGAAGCAGGCTTCCTGCTGAGAAGGAGCCTGATGTGGGACTCGATGCCAGGACCCTGGGATCATGACCTGAGCCGAAGGCAACTGCTTAACCAACTGAGCCACCCAGGCACCCGTGTCCGGATTTTTTAAGCACTTAGCAGAATGTTTTCAAGGTTCATCTGCATTGTAGCTTGTATCAATACTTCATTCCTTGTTATGGCTGAATAATATTCCATTGTATGAATATGACACATTCTTTTAAAGATTTATTTATTTATTTATTTATTTATTTATTTATTTATTTATTTATTTATTTATTTATTTATTTGACAGAGAGAGAGAGGGAGAGAGCACAAGCAGGAGCAGGAGAGGGAGAAGCAGGCTCCTCACCGAGCCGGGAGCTCGACACGGGCCTCAATACCAGGACCCTGGGATCACGACCCAAGCCGAAGGGAGACACTTAACAACTGAGCCACCCAGGTGCCCCAAGATGCCACATTTTAAATCCGTTCAGCAGTTGATGGATATTCTGGTTGTTTCCACTTGTTTATTATGAATAGTACTGCTATAAACAGTCGCGTACAAGTTTTTGTGTGGACATATTTTTTCATGACTCTTGGGTATACACTAAGGAGTAGAATTTCTGGGTCATTACTAAAATCTGTTTAAGTTTTCTTGCAACTCTTTTTGTTCTTAGGGTATATATGAGAATGTGCAGTCAAATTATCTTGTTTTAAAGTCACTTGAAATAGTTTCCGTTTGTGTGGTAATGCCACAACTCAATACACAGATGTTATTTCATTTTTTATTTTGATTTAAGGGATTTCTTTTTTAAATTTTTTTATATTTATGTGAGATATTCATATGGGCTCCCCATGTTCCTTCTTTGTTCAGTTCCCTAATAGTCCAGCTGAAAATTGATTGGGCAGGTCCAGACGAGGAAGACAACCAGGTTTGGAGGTGCCTCAGCAGCAGTTAGAACCCAGACAGGTAAGAGGCCCAGCAGGTCAGCGACCTGGCAGTTGGGGTCTCAGAAAGGAAGGTGGCCGAGTTGGCCAGTGACACAGCAGAGCTAGGAGATTAGTTACATGAAGTGGGATTGGGCAAATACATAAATATATTGAGGATAATGGATAATGGGAGGCGGATTTCTCAATGTCAGGGGAGAGAGTTCCAAAACTTTTTTTTTTTCTTTTTAAGATTTTATTTATTTATTTGACACACAAAGAGTGAGAGGGAGAGCACAAGCAGGGGGAATGGCAGGTAGAGGGAGAGGGAGAAGCAGGCTCCTCCAGGAGCAGGGAGCCTGATGCAGGGCTCGATCCCAGGACCCTGGGATCATGACCCGAGCCAAAGGCATATGCTTAACTGACAGAGCCACCCAGGTGCCCGGGAGTTCCAAATCTTATAAGGGAGAAATCTAGAACAAACCTGTGATGTTGGATTGGCATTGGAGGTATTGCTGAACTCCTGTTCCTCAAAATAAAAGATAGCTATAGAAATAGACAGCAAGTAACAATGAACAAACCCTGCACTCAGACCTTGGTTTCTAAATGCCATTTTTTTTTTCTAGCCAAGTGAACAAGGGACCTTTGGAGAAGTTACTGATTCTAGGAATGAGGCACAGGAAGTATACAATAAATCTGAAACATGCTGTGGTATCAGAAATCAAGGAGGTGTTCTCATGAGGGTGACATGCCAGTGGGACAAAGAAGCCAGATTCTAGGACAATTTGAACATCACCATAGTTAGTGGGAGTGACAGATGGTGCTCCATTGAATGACACAGGAATCCATGAGTCTACATTGATATCCACAAATGAACGGATGAGTGAGGAGAAAGAAAAGCACTTCCTGCAGTGGAATGTTACCTAATAAATGTGAGAGGAGTGATGGAATCGTAAAATCATCATTTGGCAGTCATTAATTCAGGCATGAAACATCGATGGATGCTAAATTCAGCAGGTGAACCTTGGATGAGAAACAGGGATGGCAGGCTTCTCACTGTGTTCCTACTTGGTGGGGAGGGGAGAGCTCTCTGGTATCTTCTCCTAACAGGGGACTAACCCTATTTAACAGGGCCCCACTCTTATGACTTCACTTAACTACCTTCCTATAGGCTCTATCTCTAAATTCGGTCACATTGGAGGTCAGGGCTTCAATATATGAACTCATGGGGGCACACGATTCAGTTCTGTTGGGGAGCAAGAATTCCTGTCTCCTACAAGGTCCTTCTAGCTAAGCTAAGAATCCACTTGACTTGAGAAATGGACAGGAGAAAATCAAATTTAATTTCATATGTATGGGGAATCCACACAGACATGGGAATTCCGAAGATGGTCAGGCAAAATGAGGTCTGTATGTCCATCCTGAAGGAAGAAGAAAAGGGCAGGGGTCTGGAGCTTCAAGGGAAGGAATGCACCTCATGAGGCAGTAAAAAAAAAGCAGACATTAGGTAATTAGATGTTTGCCCTCCCATACACATAGGTCATTCCGATAACATTTATCTCTGGTAATAACCTTTATTCTTGGAAAGGCCTTTAATTTAGATTCTTCTATTTAACTGAGGGAGGGAGAAAGTTTCACCTGAGTCCACCGAATCCCAGCATCTCAGAGCTGGAAGGGACTGAGGGCAAACACATTTAACTCCTTTGGGATTCTTCTGAGCTATCTCTTGATGGGGTGTGGGGAATGATTGGGTGGGGCTCTGCTTAACCCTCTTCCCCACTCCTAACCTCTTCATCCACAATCCTCAATCAGGACTGCTCCACTGTGACACATTTTATATATGGGGCATAGACATAAGATTTCCTTTAAAGAAAGAATTCTATGCATAACTATCACTCACATAATGTTAAAAACTACTAATGACCCATTTTACAGATGAAGAAATTGAGGAGGCCCTGAGAGATCAAGGGAGCTGTCCATGACGCCAAAGCAAGGCGCAAAATGCTATTTGTTGATGCCCAGGCATGGGCTGTTTCCAGGACACATAGCCTCTTTTCTACCCAGCCTCACGGCCAATATGGGGTCATATGGGGGCTAGGGACCTCTCAGCAAGGACAAAGACGGGCTAAGGAGTGGCATGGATGGGGGCCTAGGAGGTTTCATCAGGGGCTCGGAGCAGTATAGCATTCCAGATGACATGGAAAACACAGAATTGGTCTGCCCCATCCGGAGGAACTTCCAAACAAGTATGGGAATATGAGTTCCTGTGCATCATTCAGGGTCAGTTCATGGAAAGATTGCATGCTGTGCTCCATAAACAAAAGGATACAGCAATACCCCTTTTGCCTGTCAATCCAGATAGAATATACAGACATACAGACACACATATGTATATTGTAAGTAGTCAGTGCCTCCTACTGCTGGAAGATAAAAATGCACAAATTTCACTCTTCAGATCTGTTCAACCAGGAAGTACAACCACAGAACCCAAGAGCTGAAGGAACATGGAATCTTCAAATGAGGGTCACAAAATTCCTAAGGGATGCCTACACCAGCTGGGCAGGTGATGGAAATGAGGAATATAATTTGATTCCAAGAGGCAGGACCACAAGGACATGGGGAATACATTCAGCCTCCTAGGGTATTCCAAGTTTAAAAAAAAATTAAAGTTATTTATTTTCAAAAAATAATAGATTCTCATGGTACAGAATGCAAAGGGTACATACAGAAGAGGATTCATTGAAGAATAGACCTCCCTCTCACCCCTGATACCCAATCATGTTTCCTCCCAGGAGGCTAAGAAAGTGCCCCTCAAGAGATAGACTCTACCCATAAATGATATTTTAAACAAATGATAACATACATGAACACCATTTTTTTTCAGCTTAACATCGATTGTTCAGATGTTGGAGTTCATTTCCTATCTCTACATAAGAGCTTCTGTGATTTTTTTTAAACAGCTGCATGACATTCCATTGGTTGAATGTACCAAGATGTTTAGATCAATGAACATTTAACTCATTTCCAGTATTTGCTATTATATAAGCAACACTGTAGTTAATAACTTTTATATGTCATTTTGCCTATGTGTAAGCGTAGCTGTAGTATAATTTCCTAAAAGTGAAATTGCCTTCTTAAAGAGAGTGTGTATTTTTTAATTGTTTTAATTAAGATAGAACATAGATACAAAAAAATTAATAAATGTTAAGTATATGCTTAATGAAATTTTACATATGTATCCATACCTCCTATCAACACCAAACTCAAGATGTAGAACATTATGAGCACCCTAGGAGCCTCCACTGTGACCACTTCTAGTCAACATCTGCCCCCCTCCACCAAGGTAACTACAATTATTTAACTTCTATAATCATAGTTTAGCTGTATGTGTCCTTCACCTTCATGTAAATGGAATTGTAAGTATGTAGTCTTTTGAACTGGCTTCTTTTAACTCAACACTATGGCTTTAACTCAGTTGTGTCTGATTCACCCACGTTGTTGCATGTAGTTACAGTCTCTTAGTTTTCATTGTACTGGCTTTTTGCCCAGTTATAGACCAGACCTGTAACTGAACCAACGTGAGTTCATTCTTTGGTGAGTCCCAGATACACCAGGTGGAGTGGTCATACAAAGTAAACTTCACTTGCAGCAAATAAGGAGGTCACAGGGAATAGTTTCCAAAGCCGTGACTCCCTGAGAGGTGAATGGGTACCTCTTGTTTAGGATTAGGATAAACATTTAGTTAGGGAAGCCTTGTCATCGTATGTAGAGATGAGCATAAGGTCGTGCATGCGCCTTAAGAAAACATGCCTATATACACATTGTATGTTATGTAAATGGGTCTGAGGCTCCTCCTTGGGTGGAGATTTTAGTATTATAAGGAGGTAAAGGTAATTGTAGGTCATTCCAGGGGTCACTAGATGGTCCATCCGCATAGGTGTGAGTGAGTCAGTGGTTTAGCTCAAAAGCTCTGGGTGGTCTGGGCCAGCCAGAGGTCTTGTCAAATAGTCACTATCACCTGAGGGGTGTTTCAGGTTTCACTGCCTGAGTTTAGAGGTAAGCTGGAAAGAAGAGCTTAAGGGAAAATGTAAGACAAAGGGAAGTGAATACAAGCAGGTGGGCATTCAGGTCAGGTCTTGGGGGCTAGCTGGTGACAGGCCTATATTTAGTTTTAATAGATCCCGATTTTCCAAAGTGGTTCTACCACTTACACTCTTGTCAGAAATGCCTGTGAGTTTTAGCAGCTTCGAGAATTCATCAGTACTTGGTATTTTCTTTTTTCTTTTTTTTTAAAGATTTTATTTATTTATTTGAGACAGAGCGAGAGAGAGGGAGCACGAGCTGGAGGGGCAGAGGTGGAGGGAGAAGCAGACTCCCCACTGAGCAGAGACCGCCCCCCCGCAATGCGGAGGATGTGGGGCTCGATCCCAGGACCCTGGGATCATGACCTGAGCCTAGGGCAGATATTTAACCTACTGAGACACCCAGGCACCCCAGTACTTTGTATTTACCATCCTTTTACACTTTAACCATTCTGGCGGATGTATAAAGGTATTTCATTGTGATTTTAATTTGCATTTCTCTGATGACTAATAGCTTTCTCATGTGCTTTTGACCAATTATATATTTTCTCTTGTGAAGTGCTTATTTATTAGTCCATTTTTGTTAGGTTGATTGCCCTTCTTTATTTATTTGTAAAAGAGCTTTACCTACTATGGATACAAACCCTTTTCAAATATTTGTATTGTAAATATCTTCTCACAATCTTTGGCTAACTTTTCACTCTCAATTTTTTTTTCCTTTATGGAAAGCAATCCTTAATTTTAACAAAGCCCAAATTATCGATCTTTTCTTTCATAGTTAATATTTTGTGTGTGTCTTGTAAAAGGTTTTTTTGTCTACTTCAAGGTCATAGAGATGTTCTCCTGTTTTCTTGTAGAAGCTTTATTATTTTCCATTTCACATTTTGATCTGTGATCCTTTTGGAACTGATTTTATGTATGGTGTAAGTAGGAGTGTCTTAGTCCATTTGGGCTGCTATAACAAAAATACCAAAGATTGGGTGGTTTATAAATAACAGAAATTGGGGCGCCTGAGTGGCTCAGTCAGTTAAGCATCTGCCTTCGGCTCGGGTCATGATCTCAGCGTCCTGGGATTGAGCCCAGCGTCGAGCTCCCTGCTCAGTGGGGAGTCTGCTTCTCCCTGGCCCCCTTCCCCCACTTGCTCTCTCTGTCTCTCTCTCAAAGAAATAAATAAAATCTTTAAAAATAAATAAATAAATAAATAAATAAATAAATAACAGAAATTTATTACTGATGGTACTGAAGCCTGGAAAGTCTAAGATCAAAGCACTAGCAGATTCAGTGTCTGGTGAGAACCTGCTCCTGGTTCATAGACAGCTGTCTTCTCACTATAACCTTAATGGTGGAAGGGGCAGGGGATCTCTCTGGGGACTGTTTTATAAGGTCAATAATCCCATTTATGAGGGCTTTACCCTTAAGGCCATAATCACCTCTTAAAGGCCCCAACCCCAAATACCATCACATTAGGGATTAGAATTTCAATATATGAATTTTGGGGGTACCCAAACATTCAGTCTATAGCAAGGGGGTAAGATTCATTTTTTTCCCATGTGGATATCAAACTCAGCAAGGGGCTTGTACATTTTAAATTTTGATATACTTTCTACATTGCCCCCCATAGAGGTTGTATCAATTTACATTTCTATTAATAATACATAAGAATGTCTATTTCTCCACACTTTTTTTTTAAGATTTTGGTTTTTTATTTGAGATAGAATGAGAGAGAGAGAGCAAGCACAAGAAGGGGGGAGGGTCAGAGGGAGAAGCAGACTCCCCACTAAGTGGAGAGCCTGATGCGGGACTCCATCCTGGGTCTCCATCCTGGGATTACGGGATCATGACCTGAGCCGAAGGCAGACACTTAACCAACTGAGCCACCCAAGTGCCCCTATTTCTCCACACTCTTGCCAACACAATATGAGTGTATGTTTGTGGGTTTTTAAAATTAAACATTTGGCTGTGGTCAAAACAAAACAAATAAAACAAAAGCAATTAATTGAGATCGCAAATTTATGACCACTAATCCTGGTTCAACTATTCATTTCATAAATGAGGCCTAGGAAGTGGGGCGGTTTGCCCAAGTTCACAGAGCTAGGAACTAGAACTATGATCAGAACCAAGGTTTTCTTACTTTCAGCCTAAATATATTCTAGTTCATTATAGTCTTTTTTTTTTTTTCTGATAAAATTGAGGGTCAGAGAGATTAAGGCACTTGAAACTAATTGACAGCCAAATAAGAATCCAGATCATCCAATTTCTGCCTTTTTACCATGCTGTCTCAATTCATTGTACATTATCATTCATTCATTACTCAATATGGCAGAGCATCTGCCCATGCCTTGTACTTTCCTAAGCTCTGCTAATAGAGCCACGACAAGAAAGATAGTCCCTGTCTTCCTTCATGTAATCACACTTATGTAAATGCTATGAAGAAGCAGCATAGGGTGGAAGAAAGAGTATAACAGCTGTGTGATGCCAGTCAAGTGGGATGCTAGTCAAGTGGGAGACACAGAAGAGGAGTCACTCCCCACATGGATCTTACATTTTTACTGCTGGGGGAGGCAAATACTCTGATATGTTAGTGTAACCAGTTTATTAGGAAGTCCCAACTCACTGGGGGCACCAACAGGAAATAATTCCATTTCTTCCATTAATTCTCTTCAACTCTACTTTTGATTTGTAGGAGATCCATTTTTTTCCTTTGAATGATAGTTTCCTTGAGATGATCTGTCTGATTCTATAACTTTCAGCCACTTTCAGTTATTAGAACAGACTTGTCCTGGTATTTCACATTCAGCTCTGTTTAATTCTTCACTTAGATTCGAGTTACCATCTGGTATCATTCCCTGCAGGTTGCAGGATTTCCTTGAATATTTATTATATATTATATTTATTATTATATATTATTTATTTCTCATAAGGCAGATCTACTAACCACAAATTCTCTCAGTGTCTGTTTCTCTGGGAATGTCTTTATCTTGATTTCATTTCTGAGGGATCATTCTATTAGAGAATTCTTGTTTGACAGCTTTTCTCTCCTTCAGCACTTTCAATATGCCATTCCACTGCCTTCTCTCTTCCACTGCCATCTCCATTATTCCTGACGTGACATCAGCTTTTATTCTTGTGCCCTGTGTGTGATGAGTCATTCAGAAGTCAAGCAGTTTACAAGACTGCCCTGTCTTTTATTCTACTGGGTTTTCTAGTGTCTCCTCTGTATCTGTGTAAGGCTTCATGTTGAGACAGGATGAGTAGATGACTAGGGCTCTCTCGAGAGTCTCCTGAGTTTACACAGCCTTGCACACAACCTCCCAGACCACCAAAGTATGTGGGAGCTTATCAAAGTCCATTATAATAACTGTCTCATTGAGCAGGGATCTCCCTGCTAAACTTCTAGGAAGCCTTCTCGTCGGTTGTTGACCCAACCAATATGGCAACCTCGGGCAGCTGCAATGTTGGCATTCCAAACGGAGGCTTCCCCTCGGTCATGAGGATTTTCTGGCTCCGCTCCAAATCAAGTCACCTTCTCAGGCAGCAAAGCTGCTGGTTTCCCAGCTGTCCCAGCCCTGGTAGGACAATTTCCGTGAAACTGGAGGGGGAGATTGGGAATTGCTCTGGGATAAAATGTCATATACTCTCATTGTTCCTACTCAAAGCTTAGTAACTTTTCTTGAATAAATGCTTCTCTTTTTTTGGGAGGTGGGGTTTCCTTTTTTTATTTAAATTCAATTAATTAACATTTAGTGTATTAGTTTCAGAGGTAGAGTTCAGTGATTCATCAGTTGCATAGAACACCCAGTGCTCATTACATCACATGCCCTCCTTAATGCCCATCACCCAGTTACCCCATCCCCCCCTCCCCCCTCCCCCCATCCCCCTCCCCTCCAGCAACCATCAGTTTGTTTCCTATGCTTAAGAGTCTCTTATGGTTTGCCTCCCTCTCTGATTTCATCTTGTTTTATTTTTCCCGGGTTTGTTTCTTTTACTAACCAGAATCATGCTGTATGATTGTTCTTTTTTTTTAAATTGTGTTTTAAAGATTTTTATTTATTTGAGAGAGAGGGAAAGAGAGCACAAGCAGAGGGAAGAGGCAGAGGGAGAAGGAGGCCTCCCACTGAGCAGGGAGCCTGACGCAGGGCTCGATCCCAAGACCCTGAGATCATGACCTGAGTCGAAGGCAGACACTTAATGACTGAGCCACCCAGGCACCCCGAATAAATGCTTCTTAATTGGTGTTATGCCTGGGATCAACTCCAGGGAGTTGAAATGGTTTTTTTTTTAATCACAATTTTGTCCAGTCTCATCGTTGCTATTTGGGGAGAGGATTTGCTGAGTTCCTCACTCTGCCATTCCAAAAGTCATAATACAGCCCGGTTTGTTTAAAATCGTATTCTTTTTTTTTTTTTTTTTAAGGTTTTATTATTTGTCTGAGAGAGAAAGAGAGAGAGACAGCACAAGCAGGGGGAGCGGCAGGCAGAGGGAAGAAGCAGGCTCCCCACTGAGCAGGGAGCTTGATGTGGGACTCGATCCCAGGACCCTGGGTTCATGACCTGAGCCAGAAGCAGATGCTTAACTGACTGAGCCACCCAGGCATCCCTAAAATTTTATTCTTAAGCTCTATTCAAAGTTCTCCCCCCTGGCCCCTGGAGCAGACTATTGGTTGCACTAGAGACAGAGTGGAGGCTGGATTCTCCATCTGGTCCTCACATACCTTCTCTCTTTTTTGAGGAGTTAATTCCTCTGGTGGCATGAGGACAGGGAGGAAGGGAAAAGAAAAAAGTACATTTTCTTACCTATTGGACAAGGTTGTAGCCTCTGTCTCTTGGCTCTGCTGTTTCTCTGGCTAATCCAGCCTGGCCCCAGTGACTTCAGGGTGGCAGATCTCTATATGCTGACTCTCTTAGGGAGTATATGTGAAAATTCTGGAAACATTCTTTTGGGGGCCTGCCCACTGCTAATATATTTGACATGGAGCTTCGGCTCTGCTTCAGCTTCTTTCATCCTCACCCCTTCAGTGGTTAAGAGCATTGTCTCTGTAGCCACACTAACCTGGTTTGAATCCCAGATGTACTGCTTACATGCTGCATGCCCATGCAGCTGCACCCTAGCTGACTCTAAGCTAAGGTGGGTGATGGTCTGGGGAGGTCAGAGAAAAGACCCAGAGACAGTGATTGAGACGTAGGTTTACTGGGATAACTTATGTATGGGGAGTCCAGGAGCCACTGACCAGACAAAGCATCCACTGCTGGGATCTACATGCAGCGAGTTTTATATCATAGCAACTTAACTTAGCAATTATCAGTGGCCCTTTCCCTCTTTGCACAACCAGTGTTACCGAGGAGATTGAGGCCTGCCACCTGGACACTCTTCGTTACAAGGGAGACACTCTGGGTTGGCTGCCCCCAGGTCCTGAACTTGAACACTGAACAACACATTCTACTGCACATTCTGCTTGATAGGAATATAGTCAGAGGACAAGATCTCTACATTTTCAAGATAGTGATAAACATGGGCATTCAGGGTATGCTTGCACAAACTAGCTATCCAGTGTGTACCATACAGTGACCATGGGAAAGTAACTAAACCTCTCTGAATCTCAGTGTCTTCACCTGTAAAATGGGGGGGGGGGGGGGATGTATTAATCATATTTCATTAGGTAAGGCTGTGTAAGATACAGTCCCAAATCTCAGTGGCATCTAAAAGCAAAGATTTATTTTTCACTCCTGTGACCTGCTAGATGTGGGCTGCTTTGCATTTCTTTTTCCTTCCAGGACCCAGGGGGTGGGAGCAGCCCTATCTGGACTAGCCATTCTCATGAGAGAGGAAGAAGATCAAGAAAGCTGATGGAAATACAGAATAGCTCTTAACACTTGCTCAGATGTGGTGGAAGGTCTTCTGTTCCCATTCCACGGCCAGAGCAAGTCACATGGTCAAGCTTGACGTCAGTGAGGCTGGAAAGGACACTCCTATAGGAGGCATTGCAATCGCCTGGCAACAGGTAGTGATGTATAATCCTTAACAGGAAGAGCTACTTACTGGTTGGGAACAAGACCACCTATCACAGGATAATAACAGCACCTTCCTTACAGTTGCTGTAAGAATGAAATGAGGTGAAGCACGCCCAGTGTGTGACAGTTGTCTGCACTTAATAAGGGCTCAACAACTATTAGATAGTATTGTTATTACTTCCTGCTGCTGCTGAAAGTTTTCCCATTCACTAAACTGGGCTAAAACCTGACTTGAGAAGAGAAAAAGGAGTTCTAATCACTCCCAATATTCAATTGGAGAAAATAAAACACTGAGTCTAAGGGCGCAGGCTTTGGAGTAATGTGGACTCCTCACGAAGACAGATGATCTTAGACAAGTTACTTAACCTCCCTGAGCATTAGTTTCATCAACCTGAAAATGGGGATCCCTGGGACTATGTTGTGGGCTTGCCATCAGAGCCAAATTAGCCTGATCCTGTGCACCATAGTAGGAGCTGAGTATTTTAATTACTGATGTGGATTTTAGACTAATTTCCAAATATTCAATGAACTGTATGCATAACATAACTACAGTATTGCTGGATAGAAAGCCCCTTTACAGGTCTTTTCCATCTTTTGGGTCTCAGCTCAAGTGTCCCCTCCTCAGAGAGACCTTCCCTGATCACACCATTTTTAAAGTGCTTCCCCCACCTCTTAAAATCGACTCCTTCCATCACTGGTTTATTTAATATCTGTCTCTGCCACTAGAAAGGAAGCTCCGTGAAATCAGGGATCTTGTTTTCTGTATTCCCATCTCCCTGGGTCCTCAGCATTCTCATCCGTAAAACTGGCAGGCGAAGGAGGAAGAGGGAGAGGTGAAGGCTGTCGGGTCCACTTGGGTCTCACGCCCCGCCCAACACTGACCTCCAATTCCTTGGGGGCGGGGCACCGCCTCTGTCACCCTAGCTGGCGGCAGCGGGGTCCCGCCCCCTGGTGGGCGTGGCCTACAGTGTTGTGCAGGCCGCCTCCACGGGAAGAGAGCTACGTCAACACGCACCAGGCGGAAGAAGGGCGTGGCCAGGAGCGAGGCCCCCGCAGCCGCCGGCGCCGCCGCCTGAGTCGCCTCCAGGTGGCTGCTGTTGGTCCGGGCCGCTCAGGCAACTCGAAAGCCACTCTGTTTTGGGGTCCTCGCCGCCCTTCCACGTCTCCCGGAAGAGTAGCGGGGCCGCGGCGGGGCGGGGGCCACGTTTACTCTGCCGGGCCCTATCGCCGCGGGCTGCTGAGGTGGGGGGCGGCCCAGGAGGGCGACAAGACGGCGGTGCAGCCGCTCTGGAGTCCTCAGGTGAGGCGGTAGCGTGAGCCCTGTGGGCCGGACGGGTCCGTGTGGTGTGTTAACGGCCTTAGGCGAGGGGCTGGCCTCCCCTCCGCGGAGACTCTGGCCCCTCCCCTTTGGGGGAGCTGAGAGAGGGGGAGGGGAGCCCCCCCGGGACCTCAGCAGGTGTTGTTTAGTGCCCTCTGCTCTCCTCCTTTCTCCCTCCCCAGCCTGGTTTGGCCGCTCCTCCCGCTCCAGAGGCTCTGCGAGGGGGGTGGGGAGCGAAGTGGGGGTCTGTAACTCGGCTACCTGGGGCCCACCGGCTGACCCCAGCCTCTCTTCCTCTGTGTTGACACTTGGCCTTCGAAGCAGGTCCTGCCACTGCTGTCGGGGACCCCTCCCCATGCCACGCACTGTCACCCTCTCTTCACCGCCGTGTGGGCCATTTCCTGGGAGCAGTGCTTGAGAAATTACTTGAGGGCACTGTACCTCTGAAGTCCGCTGGAGTTTGTCACTGGAGCCAGTGCCAAGGCTCCATGTTTGTATTTAAATTGGGTAATCGATATTAAGGCACGGAGTTTTGTTTTAATAATACTTTACATCTGTAGGGAGTTTTATATGTTACAGATCATTGCACCTCCATTTTCATTTGATGACACATAAACTGTGAAATACACAGCCATGTAATAGTCCCATTTTGTAAGGAGCAGGTTTAGAGGATGAATTTCTTTATGAGGTTATTCAGATCCTGAGAGGCTAGATGGGAAAGGCAGGGGTTAAAAAAAAAGTGGGTTTGGCTGACTTAGATTTGAGTTGCTCAGCTGCCATCTAAACTTGGGGATCTTTCTAAATCTTTTCCCCATTTGTGGAAAATAAGATATTACTACGAACCACATAATGTGGTTGTGAAAATTATGTGTGATAAAGGTAATGAGACAGAAGAAAACCATATAAAACATGAAGGGTTGTGAGGGAAAAGCATAGCATATGAACAGAGAATGATCAAACCTAATCTAGATGGAAAGAAAGAGAGCTATGTTTTGGGGCTGATGATATCGTACACTTCTGTATCTATAAGGACTAATTACTTCATCATTCTTATTCATTCTGGCACACCATAAGTACTTAGGTCTATTTATCAGATGAATGGCTATGCAGTCATTTTTTTTAAAATTCTGAACTTAGGGCGCCTGGGTGGCTCACTTGGTTAAGCAACTGCCTTCGGCTCAGGTCATGATCCCGGAGTCCCGGGATCGAGTCCCACATCGGGCTCCCTACTCGGCAGGGAGTCTGCTTCTCCCTCTAACCCTACTCCCTCTTGCGCTCTCTCTCTCTCTCAAATAAATAAATAAAATCTTTAAAAAAAAAAAAAAATTCTGAACTTAGCCAATGTGCACATAGTGGGTACTGAGTATTTAAATTATTGTAGGTGTACTTTACATAGATTATATATGTGCACACCTAAATTATCCATAATTGTGCTGCATTTTAACATGAAGATGGATTTAGTATCAGAAGTTTCAAGTTTTAGCACCTTGAAGCAAACTCCAGGGAATTGTTTTTATTTGGCTGTACTGCAATTTTGCCATATTGATGATTTGCTATTTGAATGTTTTTGCTATGGTAACATTTGCCTTTTGTTGAAATAGGAGTTATAACAGTAGTGATAGGTGTAATTATTATGCTAATAGCAACTACTAAAATGAGTGTCTACTGTGTGTCAGGCATTTTGCAAAGAGTTTTTTATATATATTATTTCATCTTTAAACTGTCCTATAATGTAAATACATTTATTTTTCTCATTTTCTAGATAAAGCTTCTCACTTTCAGTGAAGTAGTTTGCTCAAGGTTACAGTTAGTAAGAGGCAGGGTTAGGCTTTCAGTCCAGGACCTCACTGGTCTTAACTGCTATGCTCTGCTGTTCGGCCATACTGATCCCTTTATGTCCTTTTTACAGGTTCACCAATAGGATTATTCTGCTACCATCATGTCTTGGTTTGCTGATCTTGCTGGAAAGGCAGAAGATCTTTTAAATCGAGTTGATCAAGGGGCTGCAACAGCTCTCAGTAGAAAAGAGAACAGCAGCAACATCACATATAACAAAAATGCTGACTATCCTGAACTTCAGCAAAATACGGATTTGACTTATCAGACTGGATCCAAAGCTACATATATTTCCTCAGCAGCTGATAACATAGGAAATCAGAAAGCCACTATCTTAGCTGGCACTGCAAATGTAAAAGTAGGATCTAGGACATCAGCGGAGGCTTCCCATCCTGTTGAAAACGCATCTGTTCCTAGGCCTTCATCCCAGTTTGTTCGAAGAAAAAAGTCAGAACCGGATGATGAGCTGCTGTTTGACTTTCTTAACAGTTCACAGAAGGAACCCACTGGGAGGGTGGAAATCAAAAAAGAAAGGAGCAAGACACCTGTCCTTCAGGGTTCTCGGACAGCAGGTGTCAGTTCTGTGAACACCAGCATAACCGCCGTCAAAACCATTGAGGAAAATCCTTCTGGGAGCCAAAGCGATGGTAGTTAATCGGCCCTCTGCTTCTTTTAGAGTTAAGCAAATTGGATGTGTTATCCTAGTCTAAACGTTTTGGTAGTGTTTCCCATCCTCTCTTTTGTTACCTTTCCCCACTGGTGTAAAGGCAGTCTCTGAAACATGTGGTATAAACCAGGGAGACGATGTGGCATGCTATTAGTCAGTATACAGTTATAATAGGGACCTTTAAATGCTGTCTGTTGGGTAACTTTACCCAGCCTAGCATCTAAGAAGTTCTGTCCAGAATGGTTTTCTGAGATATTTTAAAATAAAAAAGGACAGTTTTGAAATCGGAAAGAAAACAGTTTAGTTTGGGATTTGGGACTATCTCATTTCATTTCTTTCTGGGATTATAAAATAGGAGGCTGTACTTTACATATATTCTGGATTGTGAGAATTTTTTTGTGTGTGTTTTTCTTCCCCCTTGCATCCCTCAGAAGTAAAGCTGAGAGACCGAACTTGAATCCAAGTTGAAGGGTTGAAGGCATTGACCTGGTGGTGAAGTAACAGTTTAGAATTCTGGTATTCAATTGTTTAATTTGCCGTGAAATTACCTCTACGTGTATATCTTCTCACCCGCAAAAATGAGGTTAACATGGTAATGTGGCTAATTCAAGTACCTACTAACCATTTTAAAGCTTTTATTTATTTATTTGTCAGAGAGAGAGAGAGAGAGCATGAGCAGGGGGGAACAGCAGGCAGATGCTAGATGCTCCCTGCTGAGCAAGGAGCCCGACGCAGGACTCGATCCCAGGACCCTAGGATCATGACCTGGGCTGAAGGCAGATGCTTAACCAGTTGAGCCACCCAGGCGTCCCCTTACTAACCATTTTATCTTTTTTTTTTTTTTTTTTAAGATTTTATTTATTTGACAGAGCACAAGCAGAGGGAGAGAGAGGGAGAAACAGGTTCCCTGCTGAGCAAGGAGCCCGATGTGGGACTCGATCCCAGGACCCTGGGATCATGACCTGGGCCGAAGGCAGCCGCTTAACCGACTGAGCCACCCAGGCGTCCCCTTACTAACCATTTTAAAGTAACAATGTACATGATAGGTTCTTGCAGAGATTCTTTATAAAGTTGATGATTAATGGAAGCTTGTTGTTTTCTTAAATGTTACAGCTTCTCCCACAGTCTTGGCTGTTGGTGAATAAAAATATGTCTTGTATCTTCGAGATAAAGTGGTAAAGAGACAAGTGTTTGGGGTATTTAAGACCAGATCATGCAGTAGCTGTTGACTATGTACACATACTCCTCAGTTTCTCTCAACAGGGTCTGGTGGGTGAGACAGACATGTAAACAGATAATTTACATATAGTATATTAGTATATAGTATAGTAAGTATAGCGATTGAGATATGTTTAGAGTATTGTGGAGGCACTAAGGAGAAAGTAATTGTCTAAGGTATTCAGGTAAGGATTCATAGGGGGTCTGTAATTTGAGCTGGGTCTTAAAAAAAGAGTAGAAATTTTCCGGGTGAAAAAGAAAAGGGTTTGGAGACAGCATTCAATGCAGAGATTCTTTAAAAGTTTGGTAGAGTGTCCTGGGAACAGTGCATATGAGATGGACAGCAGTGAAGAAAATGAAACTAGCAAAGAAAGTTGGGAGCTGCCTTTGTATGCCTCTGTTTACATATTTAAACCTATTATTTGTAAACATCATTCTTTCTTAAAGAGTGGTCCCTGAACAACCTGCATTGAAAGTACTTGTGTGATTAATAAAAAATGAATCATTGAGTGCCTCCCCAGACTTCTTGAATCAGGTTTTTCTGGGGAAGGAGCCATGGCATGTTATTTTTTGTTGTTCTCCAAGTGATTGCTAGGCCTTTGTAAGTGTCAGTGACCCAGTAATGTGATGCTAATAGAGGTCTTTCAAAGAAAGTTGACAGTATTTTCTACTTTTAGGGAAAACTACTTAGATTTAATTGTAAAGGATGGATCAAAGGAAACCTGGTTGACAGGGAAATGAGTTAGAACCAGTTAATACATGGGAGTTATAATGATTAAGTTTTGTTTCTCTAGGGCAAGGTTTCTCAGTCTTGGGACTATTGACATTTTGGGTGGAATAAATCTTTGTTGTAGGAGGCTGTCCTGTCCTTTGTAGGATGTTCAGCAGCATCCCTGGCCTCTTAACCCATTGGATGCCAGTGACATCCCCAATTGTGACAACTAAAAATGTTTTTCTTTATTGCCAAATGTCCCTTGGGGAGCAAAATCACCCTAGGTTGAGAACCAGTGCCCGAGGATGCCTAGAAATGTCTTTAAATGGAATTGCTGAGTTGTAGGGTGTGACGGTGTTCAAGTACACTAGTTTTCTGAAGAGGTTGTACCAATTTATACTTGACCAACTGTGGTTAATATTCCTTTTGCTCTGCATTCTCACCAAGGTTGGATATTTTCAAAAACTTTTTATGTTTTGTTAATCAGGTGTGGAAAAGTTTGTTATATTTTACTTTTCTCATTACTAATGAGGTTGAGCATCTTTTCAAATATTTAACTATTCAGGTTTCATCTTCTGGGAAGTGCCTGTTCAGTCTTTTGATTAATTTTTTCCAATGGATCATTTGTCTTTTTCCTTACTGATTTATAGATATTCTTTATGTATTCCGGATGGTAACTCTTTCTACACCTCCTCCAGTTTTACCTTGGTTTTTCCCCCCACCTCTCTCTACGGTGTCTCAATAGAGTTCTTAATGTAGATGAATTTATCGATCTTTTCTTGATGGTATGTTTCCTTGTGTCTTAGAAAAATTTTCCCTATCCTAAGATCATTAGGATATTTTCCTATATTATCCTCTAAGGGTTTTATAGTTTTACCTGTCATATCTATATGGTTATTTAAATTTTTGGTTTTTTTAATGAATGGTGTGAGGTAGGCATCTCGTTCCATTTTTTCCCATGTGGGAAAATCTTTCCACCCCATTTCCCCAACTACCACTGTTCTGATTTTTTTCACCTAGTTTTTGTCCTAAAACTTCATTTAAATGGAATCATGTAGTATGTGTACTCTCTTATCTTCAGGTAAGGATTCACAGAGGGTCTGTAATTTGAGCTGGGTCTTAAAGAATGAGTAGAAGTTTTCCAAGTGAAAAAGAAGAGGGTTGGAAATCTGTTATCTCAGCATCTAGCATCATTCATTGAAAATATTTCCTTTTCCGGGCACCTGGGTGGCTTAGTAGTTAAGCATCTACCTTCGACTCGGGTCATGATCCCAGAATCCTGGGATCCAGCCCCGCATTGGGCTCCATGCTAGACGGAAAGCCTGCTTCTCCCTCTCTCGCTCCCCTTGCTTGTGTTCCTTCTCTCGCTGTGTCTCTCTCTGTCAAATAAATAATTAAAATCTTTAAAAAAAAGAAGAAAAAGAAAATATTTCCTTTTCCCTATCAATCTGCAATATCACCCCTGGCATATTATCAAGCATCCATCTATACATCGCTCTGTTTCTGGGCACTTAATTCTGTTTCATTGGGTGGTTTTTGTGCCAATGCCACACTATCTTAATTAATGTAGTTTTATAGTGTTTTGATATCTCCTAGAGCAATTTCTCCTACCTGGTCCTTCAAGAATGTTTTGGCTATTCTTGGAATTTTTTTTTTTTTGTACATCCATATTCATTTTAGAATTTGCTTGCCAAGTTTCACAAAAATTCTGTTGGTCTTTTTATTGGGAGTCCATTGCTTCTATATGGACAGTTAGTTGAGTGAGAATCAGCGTCTTTACAATACTGAGGTTTTACCCATTCTAACATGGTATAATCTCAATTCAGTTTTTAAATGTCTTTCATTAAGATTTTATTATTTTCTCCATGAAGGTCTTGCATACTTTTTATCAGATTATATTTTTTTGAAACTTATAGATGGTATCTTTTTTATTTTATTTTTTTATTTTTTATTTTTTATTTTTTTTTAAGATTTTATTTATTTATTCATGACAGACAGAGAGAGAGAGAGAGAGAGAAACAGAGGGAGAAGCAGGCTCCCAAGGAGCAGGGAGCCTGCTGCAGGACTCAATCCCAGGACCCTGGGATCATGACCTGAGCTGAAGGCAGACGCTTAACCATCTGAGCCACCAGGCGCCCCAATGGTATCTTTTTTAAATTTTTGCTTTCTTTTTTTTTTTTAAGATTTTTTATTTATTTATTTGACAGAGAGAGAGAGCACAAGTAGGGAGAGCGGCAGGCAGAGGGAAAGGGAGAAGCAGGCTCTCTGCTGAGCAGGGAGCCCGATGAGGGGCTTGATCCCAGGACCCTGGGATCATGACCTGAGCCGAAGGCAGCCACTTAACCAACTGAGCCACCCGGGTGCCCCATAAATTTTTGCTTTCTTTTGACACACAGCAACCTACATAGCTCTTAATCTTGATATTTTTCTGTACATTCATTTAGATTTTCAACAGTACAGTATCTGTGGATAATGACAATTTGGTTTCTTAACCCTTTTATCTTTTTAAAAAAATCTTTTCTTTGCCTCACTGCATTGGCTTGGACGGAAAACCAATTTTGTATCTTTGTCTTAAATAGAAGGCTTCAACTGTTTCACCAAACAGTGTTTGTTAGGTTTTTCACAGGTACTTTTTATCAGGTGAATATTTCTATATATATCTAGTTTCAGTTTTTCTGTTGAATTTTAGCAGCATTTTTTTCCTGTTATGTATGAAATATCGTATTTTTTTATATGATTTTTGTTCTTTAGTATTAATATGGTATACAAATCAATTGACTTTTTATAACCTAAAACCAAACTTAACTTTCAGTTTGCTGATGTTCTGGTTAGGATTTTTGCATTTGTTTCATAAGCAAGATTGATCTGTAATATTGTTAGGTTTTGGTATTACAGTTATGTTAGCCTTATAAAATGATTTGCAAAGTGCTCCCTCCTTTTCTGTTGTCTTAATTATTTGATGTAAGATTATTTATTCCCTGATTGTTTGCTGGAACTCACTGGTAAAACCATCAGGGTCTGGGTTATTTATTTATTTATTTTTTAAGATTTTATTTATTTATTTATTTGAGAGAGCGCGAGTGAGAGAGAGCACAAGCTGGCAGGGAGAGGCAGAGGGAGAGGGACAAGCAGAGTCCCCACTGAGAGGGAGCCCAACGTGGGGCTAGATTCCGGGACCCAGGGATGATGACCCAAGCTGAAGGCAGACAGCCACCCTGGGCCCTTGGGGTATTCTTAATGGAAGATTTTAACTATTGATTGCATTGACTTTCCATTTCCTCTCTTTTTGGTGAGTTACATTTTTTCCTAAGAATTTGTCTATTCTATGTACACTTTGGGGGATTATATTTATTTCACTTAATTTCAGGAAGTAATGAAAGTGTCACAGCTGAAACAAGCCCATTTGGACCCTAATCATTCATATTAACCCTGCAGAAACTAAAGCTTGATCACAGATACTACCAGAAAAATATCAGTATCTGGCACTGTGCTAAATGCCTTTTTTTCAAATAGTGTTAATGAAGTATAACTGACATAATAAATTATACATACTTAAGTATACAATTTGGTAGGTTTCAACGTAGTATACATTTAAAAATTCATTGGCATAATGTTAATGATATGTCCCTCTGAATACCATTTTAATTCTCTCTAGCAAGTTTCTTTTCTATTTTGTTAATTTCTGGTCTTTATTGTTAATTTCCGCTTTGGGGTTTATTCTGCTGTTTTTATAGCCTTTAAGGTGGATAGAAAACTCATTAATTTTCTTACTTTCATTTTTAATGTAAATATTAAAGACTATAGATGTCCTTCTAAATACTACTTTATTGGATATATACTTTATTTCTTTTGAAAAATTTTTGTTTTGGAAATTTCAAACATATCAAAGTAGATTTTGATGACTCCCTCCAATATTACCTGTCTGGCTGTATTAATCAACACTTATGGCCATTCTTGTTTTATTTATACCTCCCATTTTCCATCCCTCCTTTACCTCTACCCTCCACAGAATTATTTTGCAGCAAATCACAGATCTCATATCATTTCTTCTAGAAATATTTCATTTTATTACCCTAAAAAAATGCAAGCTTTATTTTTTTTTAAAGATTTTATTTATTTGAGAGAGAGACAGGGAGAGTACAAGCAGGGGGAGGGGCAGAGGGAGAGGGACTGGCAGACTCCCCCGCTAAGCTGAGAGCCCAAGCTTGATCCCAGGACCCTGAGGTCATGACCTGACCCGAAGTCAGTTGCTTAACCACCTGAGCCACCCGGGTGCCCCAAAATGCAAGCTTTAGAAACACTCATACCATCATCACCCTAAAAATGTAATAATTCCTTAGTATCATCTAGTGCCTAGTCATTATTCAAATTTCCATTTCTCATAATTTTTTCTGTATGTTGAAATGCACAAACCTTAGCTATACAGATAAATGGCTATACCTGTGTAACCCACACTTTTATGATAACACTTCTTTCCCTCACATCCCTTTCCAGTTAATCTTTCCATCCCATTTCCCCAATTACCACTGCTCTGATTTTTTTCACCTTAGTTTTTGTCCTAAAGTTTCATATAAATGGAATCATGTAGTATGTACACTCTCTTATCTGACTTCTTTTACTCACCATGTTAGTGAGATTCATCCATGTTATTGGGTATATCAATAGTTCTTTTTTATTTTGTAGTATTCTACTGGAGATACACCACAATTTATCCATTCTCTTTTATGGACAGTGGATTGTTTCCAGTTTTGGGTTATTGTGAATAAAGCTGCTATGAACATTTTTGTACTTGTCTGTTTGTGGGGAAATGTTTTCGTTTCTCTTGGAAATGAAAACCTGGGAAGGGAATCACTAGGCAAAATGGTAGGTGCATATTTAATTTCATAAGAGACTGCGGAAACCTTTTCCCACAGTGGTTATACCATTTTGTACTCCCACCAATAATCTATGAGAGCTCTGGTTGCTCCACGTCTTTGTCTGCATTTGGTGTTGTCCTTTTAATTTTAGCCATTCTAGCAGGTGTGTATTGGTTCTCATTGTGGTTTTAATTTGCATTTCCTTGATCACTGAAGATGTTGAGAACCTTTTCATAAGATTATTGATCATTTGTTTATCTTCCTTTGTGAAGTGTCAACTCTTTTGCCCATACAGTTACTTAGTGCATTTTATCATTTAGATACAGTTCACTTTTTAGCACATACCTAATTTTTTTTAGAGTAAGTAAAAAATGCATTTGGGCGGACACCTGGGTGGCTCAGTTGGTGAAGCGTCTGCCTTCAGCTCAGGTCATGATCCTGGGATCAAGCCCCACGTTGGGCTTTCTGCTCAGCGGAGCCTGCTTCTTCCTTTCCCTCTGCCTGCCACTCCACCCTGCTTGTGCTCTCTCTCTCTCTGCCAAATAAATAAATAAAATCTTCTAAAAAATGCATTTGGATCACATTTAGTCCAAAAACAAGATGAATCTGAATTTATGAGTCTCTCTCTCTTTGTATAAGGCATTTTAGATTCCAGTTTGGTATGTAACAAATGGCTCTGACCTATTATTACTCTTTTGCCTTGAAACCCACAGCTGTTCTTTTGTGCCTTTCTAGTATTTTCACTGTTGAGACTTTCATCTTTTTTTAAGAAAATGCTTTGGAGACAAAGGGGGACTGAAACCCTTTTTACCTAATCCCAACTGCTTAGATTATCTCTTGATTTTCTTCTTTCCAAAACTGTATTCTTGTGTCTATCCTTTACCACCATCCATTCAGTATATCCAAATTTTGAGATCCTTAGAGATCTATAGCCTCCCATGTAGGAGAATGAAATTTTATCAGAAGGAAATCTCTTGAGAATTTAAGTTTACTTTTTTATGATATTTTAGCTATAGCAGTCAACTTGAGCCAAAAGGCATTCTACCAAAGTAAGCAGCTAATGTGTATGTAGTGAGTGTTCCAGTGTAACAAAAATGTTTTCCTTTTTTTATAGTAACGTCTAATAATTCAGATTCTGGCCATGAAGTTCAAGAGGATTCTTCAAAGGAAAATGTATCATCAAGTGCTGCCTGTGCTGACCACAACCCAACACCTACTCACGATGGCAAATCACATGAACTGTCTAATCTTCGATTGGAGAATCAACTGTTGAGGAATGAAGTTCAGTCTTTAAATCAAGAAATGGCCTCATTACTTCAAAGATCCAAGGAAACTCAAGAAGGTAGAGTCTTATTTAAGTTGTGGAGGATTAGGAATTTAACATTTCAAAAATAAACTGAAAACTTGAGGACATCGGAACTTAACAAAACACAAGACTTACAAAATCGTGTTTTCATAGAAATACAGGGCCCAGATTTAGAAATAGAACCAGTCATCCTCCTACCAGTCTGAAACAGAACATTGCCTTTGTTTGGTCATTCCCTAGGAGTCATGAAATTTAAGAACTTAGTAATTTAAGAAATTTAAGAACCTTAGTAGTCATCTGGTTCATTTGCTCTCTTCTGAACCTTCAGGGGGAACTGTTCATGAACCAAAGGTGGGATTAAACAAAGGAGTGGATACCAGTAGACAAGGTCACAGTATTGTATTGCTCCAGGAGATGTAAAGTGACCACGGAATTCAGTTTGAATAATACACTCTCGAAATATGCAGTGAAGTGTCCCTAGAGTAGAAAACTCTTAGATTCCTCAGAAATGGGTAATTTAAAAGTAAATACTCTCATGAATGAGGTGATGGAGGAATATGTTAGTCTTAATGTACGTGTGGGCTGAGGGAAAACAAAAGGGAGAAGAGAAGTCTCTGCCTTGGTTCCTGGCAGTGATTAGAAAGGAGGGCGGGGACAGTGGGAAAAGTTTTGCCAAGATATGGATGGAGGCCCAGAAGAGTGAAAGAGGAAGAAAGTTTAGGGCTTGTTGGACTGACTTCAGAAAAAGCTTTGCTTTACCAGACTAATAAAGACCTAGAAATAGAGCTTTTCCTGAGACCCTGTAGAGTTTGCTTCAATTTAAAAAAAAAAAAAAAAATTTTTTTTTTTTTTTGGCCTGCAAACTGCTGTTATAGATATGTGAGGGTGTGGAAATCTGCACTGCATTGCTCTTTCTGCACCAATGTCCTAGGTTTAAAAAATAAAATCTTTTTGCTACAGTAATCAAGAGAAACCTATAGGTTTTGATTTTGTTTGTTTTGGTCTTATACCAGGGTGTACACCATCTACCCTTGATTTGTATTTGCATTCTTCCTGTCTCCAGCAGAGCTCAACAAATCCACTGATTTCTTGAGTGTTCTGAACTCTGCTGTATACTGGGGTGGGCTCCCAAATGCTTTATGATAGGTCTCAAAAAGTTTTTTTTGTAGGGAGCAGCTGGCATCGTGCCCTTTCCAACCTATTAACTGTGATGTAGATGTGAATGTTGGCCGTGAGATATGGGTATCCCATTTGAAGCAAATGATTTGAAGATATTTGTAAGCTCTTAATTTTGGCAGAAATTACTACAGGGATACAGAGGAGAGTCTCTGTGTGCTCTGAGAAAAGTGTGTCTGCTTGAAGAGAGAAATCTCTTTTTTTTTTAAGAATTAACCAAAGCAAGAGCAAGAGTTGAAAAGTGGAATGTCGACCATTCAAAGAGTGATCGAATAACCCGAGAGCTGCGAGCCCAAGTAGATGACCTGACTGCAGCGGTGGATGCCAAGGACTCGCAGCTGGCTGTGCTGAAAGTGAGGCTGCAGGAGGCCGACCAGCTCCTGACCACACGCACCGAAGCCCTGGAAGCCTTGCAGACTGAGAAATCACGGTAGCTCATCCTAGTGATCATGAGAAAGGGAACTAGAAAGATTCTTTCCCATGCAAGTAATGATAAATACTGTGGTGGTGTATACTACCTTATGAAAACTTAGCTTTTGAAATTTAGAGGGGGCAAATTTATCTTTCGGTACTGTTGTAAATGTGTGCGATTAAAAGTTGATTTATTATTTGAACCTTGAGATGCATTGTTAGCAAATTCTGAATTTAAAAATATTTGAAGAATATAGTGTCCTTAATTTTTTGACATATAATGATGTGTGTGCTTATATTTGGATGCCTAAAAATATAGGTTACATTCCATTAAAAGGCAAAAAGATTTCTTTAAGGATATTTTAGTCAAACCATCTTTTTTTTTTTTTTTTTAATTTTAGAGAGAGAGGGGTGGGGGAAGGGGCACAGGGAGAGAGAGAATCTCAAGCAGACTGTGCTGAACGTGGAGCCCAACAGGGGGCTTGATATCAGGACCCCGAGATCACGACCTGAGCTGAAACCAGGAGTCAGATGCCTAACTGACCGCACCACCTAAGCACCCCAGTCAAATCATCTATTTTGTGCTGTCAAGCCGATGCTTTAAAAATTATTCCACCTTGTACACTGTGGAAATAAGTCTTTTCAAGTGATGTCTTTTCTTTTAGAATAATGCAGGATCACAGCGAAGGTAGCAGCCTGCAGAACCAAGCTTTGCAAACTCTTCAGGAGAGACTGCATGAGGCGGACACCGCCCGGAAGAGAGAGCAGGAGAGCTGTAAACAAATGCAGGTTAGAAAGGAAGAATGCCTTTATGCTGTTTGATAACATTTACTCTTTAAGAAAATTCTGCAGTGCATTTCAGAAAAATCTGTTTCTGTCACAGAAACCAAGTATTTGAAAATTTAGCTTGATTCTTGCTGAATTTACTTAATCTTATGTATTGGGATACAATTAAAATAAATGTCAACATCCTCTATGATCAACAAGGCATTGACCAGAAATGTGGGGGCTTTTCTTCTGAGATGGTATTTGAAGGGACGATGCACAGGTTGGACAATGGTCCTAGAGAGGAGGGGTGTTATACTTATAAAAGGGGAGCAGCCCCTCAGCACCCCTTAAAAAAAGGAATACAATTAAAATAGAATATTCAGTAGAGATAGATATTTCTTTATTTAATTTTGTTTTTCAACCAACGTTACCATTATTTGATGAAAAGCTGATTTGGGTCCTCTTTCTTAAAATTAGATGGTGCTGAGAAACTTTCGAATAAAACACTGCCAAATGAGGGAAAAAATTGATGTGGGGCATCTTGTTTATTTTTTTATTTAAGCTTTTTCTGATTCTAGTTCAATCTGATTGATTTATTTCCAGAGGAAATTGTACGTAAAATGTAGAGTTTTACACTTAAATGAATTTTTTTGCATCTAGTTCAGTGATTCTCAGCCCTGTCTATACATTAGAATCACTTGTGTAGCTTTTAATATTTTCTGATGCCAGGTCTCTACTCCCAGGGAGTCGGATCCCATGGTGTGAGGTAGGGCATAAGCAGTGGTGTTTGAGTTTTATAAGATTTACATGTATCTATTAGCCAGTGAGGTTGAAAACCACTGGTTCAGATTATCTTTTCAACAGGTGAAAATAGTTGAGCCCTGAAAGTAACTATCAGTTAATGTGGACTTTTTGAAAATCTTATGAATGTATTTTATTTAACACAGTATATCCAAAGTACTGTCATTTTGGGGCACCTGAGTGGCTCAGTCACTTAAGCATCTGACTCGATCTCAGCTTACGTCTTGATCTTAGGGTTATGAGTTCAAGCTCCGCATTGGGCTCCTAAAAACAACAACAAAATCAAAGTACTATCATTTCAACATATAGTTAATAATAAAAATCATTAATGAGATATTTTACATTCTTTTTTGCAAACTGATACTTTAAAATATATTTTATACTTAATTCAGTCATAAATTTGCTTATGTAATACTTGATCTATATTTAGATTTCATAAAATTTAGAGGTAAAAAAATAATTCACATGCCCAGTTGTTCTAAACATACTCAGAAGTTTTCTACTGACAGTTCCTCAAAAAGTTAGGTATAGAGTTACCATATGGCCTAGCAGCTCTGTCCTAGGTGTATACCCAAGGGAATTGAAAATATTTGTCCACACAGAAAATTGTACACAAATGTTCATAGCAGCATTATTCACAATAGCCCCAAACTGGAACTAATACAAATATCCATCAGTTGCTGAATGGATAAACAAAGTGTGGTATATGCCTACAAGGAGATAGCATTCAGCCATAAAAAGGAATGAAGTACTGATTCGTGCTACAACATGGATGAACCTGTAAGACATTATGCTAAGTGAAAGAAGGCAGACACTAAAGGCCACATATTATATGATGTCACTTACATGAAATGTCCAGAATAGTTAGATCTATAGAGAAAGTAGATTAATCATTGCCAGGGGCTAGGAGGAAGGGAGAAGTGGGTAGAGGATCTCCCTTTGGGCTGAAAATGTACCTGATATTAGGTAGTGGTAATGGTTGTACAGCTAACTCTGTGAATACACTGAAAACCACTGAATTGTACACTGTAAAAGGGTGAATTCTATAGTATGTGAATTATATCCCAATGAATCTATTAATTGAATTAAGTGGGTTTTTTTGAAAGATTTTATTTATTTATTTGACAGAGACACAGCGAGAGAGGGAACAGAAGCAGGGGGAGTGGGAGAGGGAGAAGCAGGCTTCCCACTGAGCAGGGAGCCCGATGTGGGGCTCGATCCCAGGACCCTGGGATCATGACCTGAACCGAAGGCAGACGCTTAATGACTGAGCCACCCAGGCACCCCTGAATTAAGTATTTTTATGTTTAATTAAAGCTAATTAACAGAAAAATTAGCTAAAGTTAGTAAACAGAAAAATTCAATTCTTGTTGCATTAGGCACATTTCACATGCTTGGTAGACATTAGCATAGTCCTCTTGCTCTTTTTATTCAAAGCAGGAGTTAATATTGGGTCAAAGGTTTGTGGCTTTAGTTATTGGTGTGTGAACTTTTGCTTTTGGACTTTTGCCTCACCTTCTGAGTGTTCTGGTGATGGGAACTTTTGAGAATAAAGCAAAATATAAATAATTCTCAGAACTAGTTAGGCTAGTAAGTGATAGGCATGTGTTTTTCTAGAGTGTGCTTTGGAAGTTTCTTAAGCTAAAAAATTATATTGAATAGTTCATTAGAAAATTTGAAATAAAGGGAAAATGTTAGTCATGCTATTAAAAAAGATGTAGCTGTTTACTTATCTCTGTGGTTTGCCTTTTTTTTTTTTTAAGATTTATTTTATTTATTTGAGAGAGACTTAAGCAGACTCCGTGCTGAGCACAGAGCCTGACATGCGGCTTGAGCTCCTGACCCTGAGATTGTGACCTGAGCTGAAACCGAGAGTCAGACACTTAACCGACTGAGCCACCCAGGTGCCCCTTTATTTGCTTTCTGATAGACTTTCTGTTTTATTCATTAATCAGCTAGTATCAGGCTGACCAGATTCACCTTGGAAATTTCTTAAACAGATTTCCATTTCCAAGCATAGTCTTGGAAATTCCAATTCAGTAAGCCTGGGGACAGCTTTGGGTGGCTGTATTTGTTTAAAACTCCTTAATTGGGGCACCTGGGTGGCTCAGTCGGTTAAGCGTCTGCCTTCGGCTCAGGTCATGATCTCAGGGTCCTCGGACTGAGCCCTGCATCAGGCTCTCTGCTCAGCAAGGAGTCTGCTGCTCCCTCTCACTCTCCCTCTGTGCTCTCTTCCTCTCAAAATAAATAAAATCCTTAAAAAAAAATAAAAAATAAACTCTTAATTGATTCTGATGCATTGCCATATTTGGGAGCCAACAGCCTTAGATTCCCTATTCTTCAGTTCCTAACAAATGAAGTGTTTGGTTTGTTTTGTTTTGGTTTTTAACCTCCCTGTTATGTTGTTGGGCTGAGCTAAAAAAAAAAAAAAATCCCATAAGACATCTGATTGGATGGTTGTAAAATATATTTCAGAGGAAATGATGTAAAGATGATATAAAAATTTGTCACAGAGTGAGTTTGCTGCACGCCTTAATAAAATGGAAGAGGAACGTCAGAATTTGGCAGAAGCAGTCACTCTGGTGGAAAGAAAATATGCGGAGGAGAAGAAGAGAGTTGATGAGCTACAGCAGCAAATTAAAGTGTACAAGTCCAACTTGGAGTCCTCTAAGCAGGAATTAATTGACTACAAGCAAAAAGCTACTAGAATACTCCAAGTAAGCATGAAATGTCTTTTGGATGTTAAGATTTGCCAGGTGGGAGACACTTTTCGACTCCATATAGATCTGCGAGAGGATTTGTTCGTGTTTGGCTGGGTTGGCTTGCTTCAGGTGCCTTCCTGCACTTAGAGATATTACAAAAGTCCGAAATGTCCCTTGTTCCTGCCATTTTTCTTTCTTTTTATTTAAAATTCATTCTGCCACAGCCTAGCTCAGGTCTTCAGCTGTCACCTTAAGCACGGCACCATCGACGTTTGTCGTTAAGCAGCCACTTTATTCTTCCTGGCTGGTCCCCCGTTGAGTTTTTCAGAACAGCTGGTCTCGGCCTCAGCCAGCTTCCCCCGTGTCATCTCATGTAGTCTTGGGCTTCTCTGTCCTTTGCCTCCTGAGGGAAAGGTATCCTTTCATCTTTCCCTAGGAGGGTTCCTCTTCGCTGTATGTAAGCTCTTCCTCCTGAGTCTGAGTCTGTCCTCTCTCTGTTTCTTCCACTCTGCCTCCTTTTTGTGGCTCAGCCTACTCAAGAGCATATGGTTGCTGGGTGGAAGATCAAAAACTAGATCTTGGAACTCCTGCTTAGGGAAAAAACAATCCTTTGTCTTTTTTGACCACTTGGATCCATTTCCCTGTTCTTTCTTTCAATATCAGACTTAATAGAATTCTTGTAAATATGCCATCCTTATTTTAGAGCTGTTAACTCTAACTCCTTCGTATCATTTCTGTCCCTGATACATTTCTGAAATTGTCTTCCCAGACATCTTTAATGACCTGAATATGTATTTTCTTCCTTTTCTTAATATCCATCCACTTTGATGTGGATAGAGCATCGGACACCATTAGCCCTTCTACCCTCTTAAACTCCTGCCTCCGGTGCTACTCGAGCTGCCCTCTCTCTGCGTCTTCTTTCACTGCTCCAGAGTCTCCGGAGACAAAGAGTTCTCTCAAATTCAGTCCCAAGACCTCTCTCACTCCTTACCTGGCGTTATCATATACTCACTCTGCTTCTGTCTGTCACCTCGATGTGACTCCAGCGTGTCTCCCAGCCTAACTTCCTGACCCCGGTTTCTGAGTGCCTGCCAGGCTTCTCTGTGTGGGATTCCCCATCGCTCACACCAGCTTCTCCTTCATTCTCTAATTTTGGTAAATATTATACCTCCTTCCCAGGCAGTAGAGCTTGAACCACGATGACGTTTTGACTCCACCTTTTTCCTTTATCTCCTGCCTCCTGTTGCGTGTGAGCACTATTTTGATTCTACTTTCATGAGACAGCATACCCATCTCCTCCAAACTGTTCTGATTACTTTTGCTGTGTCACTCTAATTTATTATTGAGCACCTAACTATTCTAATGAGGCATTATGATAGATGCTGGGGGGGTGTTTTCTTTCTGAAAAGAGCGTTCAGTTAGCAGAAAGACACTGAGGTAATCGACGTGATGAAGTTATTGATGCAGTAAGCCCTTAAAATCTGCCAGGGAATGTCAGGAATGACTGGAGATGCTGTATAAAGAGGAACTTGAAGGATGAGTAGGAGGGCTTGTGGTAGGGAAGAGATTTCAGATAGAACAGCTGTGCCAGAGCAAAGGGGGTCTGCGGGAGCACAGCATCTTTAGTGGATGGCAGCTGGTTCCCTGCCGCTGGAGCATGAAGGGTTAGGGACTAAAAGCGGGGAGAGAAAACTCAATGACAGGCAAAAGCCAGACCATGGAGGGCCTCGCATCCTGTGCAGAGGAGTTTTGATTTCTATCTCCTAGGTAGTGGTAAGGATGAGAGGTGAGAGACTGAGCAGCGTGAGGACTTGCGGTGAAGAGGAGAGTTGGCACTGGGTCAGGCCCTTAGGCGGTGCTCAGTAAATTGCTGCGGACGTTGATGGGTGAGGATAGGATGGTGAGAGGGTAAAGAGAGTATCGGAATTAATGGTGTGAAGTAATGAGGACCTGGTCTAATTTGTGGCAGTGAGGGTGACAGATGGGACAGCTAAGAGACGTGTAGGAGGTGGGATGTGTGACACTTGGGGTTTCAACTGGAGGAAGGGGAACTGCAGGCAGACCTTAGGAGGACTCCGGTTTTCTGGGTTCAGATGTAAGCGATACGCCCTGGGTAGTGCAGCAGAGACACAGGAAAGACATCCGGCTAGCACTGATGGACACTAGGACAAGTGACAAAGAGTTTGCAGAATTTGACTGCACCGAGTGACACCAAGGTGAAAGTTTTAGGAAGGCAGGGGCGCCTGGGTGGCTCAGTCGTTAAGCGTCTGCCTTCGGCTCAGGTCATGGTCCCAGGGTCCTGGGATCGAGCCCCGCATCGGGCTCCCTGCTCCGCGGGAAGCCTGCTTCGCCCTCTCCCACTCCCCCTGCTTGTGTTCCTGCTCTCACTATGTCTCTCTCTGTCAAATAAATAAATAAAATCTTTAAAAAAAAAAAAAAAAAGTTTTAGGAAGGCAATCAGAAGTAGAGGCCTGAAGCTCAGCCCATGGGTCTGGGCATTAGCCATGTGGGAGCAGAGAGAGAGAATTATGTGTGTTACAGAAAATATGAAACATGCAGAGAAGTTTAACGAAGTCACCCATAATCCTACCACATGAGAAGAAAAACTATTTTTGATGGAGGAGAGTGCCTCTCAGATATTCATATTGAAGGTGAAAGAGCTGATAGTCCTTACTGCTGGCCTAGAATTATATAGCACTTCTTAAACTGGTCTTCCCACATCGAATCTCTTCTCCCAACTCATCCTTTCCATTGGGGGTCACAAACTTTTTCTGTAAAGGGCCAAATAGTACATATGGTAGGCTTTGCAGGTTCTATGTGGTCTCCATCGCATACTCTTTGTCTTTATTTTTTTTATCATCTAAACATGTAAAAATCATGCTTAGCTTGTGGGCTCTACACAAATAGGCCACAGGCCAGATCTGGCCCATCAGCCATAGTTGGTGAACATCTGCTTTATACCACTGCCACATTAACCCTCCTTAAATGCATCTGTGCTCATATCACTTCCCTGTCTACTTTTTTAGTTGTTTGTTTTCGCCCACTAGGATAAAAGTCAAACATTTTAGCCTGGTATCTGAAGCCCCCCCCCACAGACTGGTCCTAACATACTGTCCGAGCGCATCTCAACAGTACTTTCTTACACGCCCTAATGCTTTTGCATTTTTATGCTTTGTCCTGTTTTCTCCACACCTGTTAAAATCCGAGCCATTTTTCAGGATCAGCATAACTGCTGCTTTCAGGTAAAGCCTTCTCTTCCCCAGTAAGTGGCTTCTCTTTGGAACTCTGCAAGTAATCTTAGCAGATGCCTCTCTCAACTTGTTTATTGCCCTCTTGTAACTTCCCTCCAGTTTGTAAGGCGGAGGGTACTATCTCAAATGAGAGACCTCTTCATTGCATGGGACTCGGAGCATAATGCCAAACCCATTGTAGGTGCTCTGTAAATATTTGCTGAGTAGCATATGATGGAGATAAAAAGCATGAGAAAGGATGAGAAGAAAATACGAGGGAAATCTTGTTAATAACAAGTTTTCAACAGTAACATAGTCTTGGATACTAAAATCCAAGGCTGGTTTACAGCAAGGCCCTGCTGCGTTCTTATCCCAATGTGGACTTTCTTTGATGGAGAACATAATTGGACCATTTCCGTAGTGGCTTAGTTGGTGTAAGATTGATGCTATTCAGTGTACAAGTTAATCTCTGTTTTGCTTAAAGATATTTCTTTTTTTATAATAGTCCAAAGAAAAATTGATTAACAGCTTAAAGGAAGGATCTGGTTTTGAAGGCCTCGATAGCAGTACTGCTAACAGCATGGAGCTGGAAGAACTTCGGCACGAAAAGGAGATGCAAAAGGAGGAAATACAGAAGCTCCTGGGCCAGATACATCAGCTGAGATCCGAATTACAGGTAAGATTCGGTATGGCTGTGCTGCACGACCAGCCACTGACCCCGGCGATTGGCAGGCGAGCGGCGGTGGAGTCTGTATTTTGGGGGCAGGGTGTTAGTGGTCACCATGCAGCAGTGCGTCTAAGGCGATTGGTTTCCTGTCTGTCGACGGACTGTGAAGTCCTGGCAATAACAGGCATGTAGCTAACTAGATGCACTAGTTAAATTCTTACCCTGTGCCTGCCATGTGCCAGGCCTCTTGTAGGCTTGGAGTTACAGCAAGGAACCAGACAGAATCTTCACATTTATGGATCTTATAACAATCCAGTGGTTAAAACACAAATGAGATTTGGGCTTGTCTATAAAACTGGGATGTTTTCTGATACTGGAATGGACACAGGGACAGTCCCTTAATTATAGTTTCACAAATAATCTTATGATTTATAGTTTATGTGTAATTGCAGTTTTTAATCCAAAAGTAAGTTGGACCTTTTGTTTAGATTAAACATGGAGTCTTTGACGTAAATATCATAGGAGGAGTCTCTGAGAACGAGAGAAGGTAAAATGCAGGCTGACAACCCTTCTTTAAAAGAAAAAAAAACGTGTTAACTCAGCAAATTATTGGTTTGTAAGATGTGCATGACCTATAAAGGAAAGTATGGAAGTTGTAAGGTAGGGTTTCTTGTCTGGAGTATGGGCTTGAATATCAGATATGGAGAGAAGTCCGTCTTTGGCACTTAGTAGATGTGTTACCTGCACGAGATACTTCATCTCACTGAGCCTTAGTTTTCTCATCTGTAAAGTGGAGATAAACACAGGTTTTCTTGAGGATAAGGGATATGCATCGAAGGGCCAAGCATTGTTCCTAACATGCATTAGGCCCTCAACAAATAGTAGCTAATGTTACTTCTGGATTTCTTTCTTACTGGTAAAGTAGAAGAGCTGGTCCTCAAGGCTGTCATCCTTATAATCTGTATGGTTGGATTTTTTTTTTCCTATAATTAATTTTGAATGCCAAAGAATTCAGTCCTGTGAACTTAGAAACTGAATACATGCTAATCCTGTTCATACCTTGTCTTATTCATCTGTGTATTTGGGGTGAGATTATAAAAAATATGACTTGTTTTATTTAATTTCCTTACCCCAGCATCATTGATGACATTGACCATTTCTCAAGAAGCTTATAAAATCTACAGTAAGGATTATAGTGTATCTAGCAAAATGGGAGAATTGTTAATGACTATAATAGCTAAGCACTTAACTTGCCAGGCATTGCACTAACCTCTCAGCATACAGTCTTCCATTTATTCCCTACTGTTAATCCTCTAAGGGAGATGGTATGTTCTCATTTTACAGTTTGAAGAAATTCAGTCACAGAGAAGGAAAGTAGTTTCCTATAACTATAGTGAAGTAGCAGTCAGGATTAGAACCTTAGTCTGTCTGATTTCCAGAACATGTGTTTTGTTTTTGTTTGTTTTTTTTCCAGAACATGTGTTCTTAACCACTGCTCATACTGTCTGCCTCTCAAGAATTTGTCTAATTAAGTCAAATTGATGACAGAGATTAGTTTACCTACTGCTAACCCCAAAAACTCAAGGATAGGGGAAAATCATTCTACTTATTGCTGCTTTCCTCTAAATCCACAAAGTTGTGACTATATAGACTATCACACTGGTATTATTATCTGGAGTATCATTAATTTTTAGTTCTTTCAAACCGTATATGAAATGCCAGAGTTTGTGTAGATGAATATAAAACAGTGTACCAAAAGATAAAAAGCAAATTAAGATGCTGTTTTAATCTCTTGTAGTACTGTATGGATGGACACATGGTTAACCCATACAGGGGGTAAATATAGAAATCTAGAGTCATGTTCTTTGCTACTAGTAGATTCCACAGGAAATCTAGAAGGTGGTTTTTTGAAGAAATGAGAGTAATGACACTAAGTGAAGCAGTAAGAAATAAAGATATAAAAACAGGTAATGGTAATAAAGCTTTAAAAATGAAATAATAGGCTAACCTCAGGTGATATGAGAGAGAAGTTATATTCCTACTTGACACACACACACAAAAACTAACTATAACCTGCAATTCCAGGGGCCATCTTTTTGATGTTATGTTTCTGTTCCTTTGGAAATTGTTAGCTTTTGGATAGAGCTATAATCTCCCAATGAGCCGCTGTTGACTCATACTCCTTCAACCATATGGTTCATGCGCCGTGGCGGCTACGGTGTCCTGTCCGTGTCTCTCACCATTTGCCGTATCATACAGTGAAGCATCTGTTTATGTGCTCCTTTCAGGCTGAGACCATGTCTCACTCGTCTTTTTCCCTCTAGTGCCTCCTGAGCCCAGTTCATGGCGCACAGTGATTACTTGATTAATGCTGAAATGAACAGTTAATGATTGCTTTCACATATAAGGCTCATCGTTTTAGGATATGGAGGCACAGCAGGTTAGTGAAGCAGAATCAGCAAGAGAACAGTTACAAGATCTGCAAGACCAAATAGCTGGGCAGAAAGCATCTAAACAGGAACTGGAGGCAGAATTGGAGCGACAGAAGCAGGTAAAGATTTTATTTATTTATTTATTTTTAAATATTTTATTTACTTGAGAGAAAGAGCGATCATGCACACGAGTGAGAGAGCATGAGCGGGGAGAGGGGCAGAGGGAGAGGGAGAAGCAGACTCCCCACTGAGCAGGGAGCCCGATGTGGGGCTCAATCTCAGGACTCTGGGACCATGACCAGACGCTTAACCAACTGAGCCACCCAGGCACCTTGTGGGTAAAAATTTTAGTTGGATGATTACCAAGGAAGATGCTTTGCTGGCAGTCCTATGAGGAGACTCTCCAGTGAAGCAACTTACTGAAATTCTTACAGAATGGGTGTGGAGTGGTGATGATAAATGGGACCTTCTAGTTCCCTCCTGTCTTGTTACTACCTACCCCCCTCACTGTTTATTTCACAGGTTAAAAATAGAGCCACAGGATGGCTATGAGACTTGCCTAACCTCACACAGTTAACTAGAGAATAGAATAGAACCCGGATGCCTGTCCCAGAGTTCTTTCTACTATCTTGTCTGTGTTTTATTATATCTCTTTGTCACAGTGTGTATGTATGGAAAACTTAAAAACATCCGTTGATTTTCACATTTTATTACATTTGTACTTTCTAGGGACAACAGTAATATTTTTTAATAGAAATATTAAATACAACATTAGTGCTGTAATTAGACTGCTCTTTCTGTTTGAGGAGAAATATTTATAGACTGTTCTTACAAATCATGTTTAAAATTACATTTCTTTGTTCAGTTAGCAGTTGTCTGCTCCCCAAACCAAATTAGTTTACCTTAGTATACTTACATAATAGTTTTCTTATTAAAACAGTTAACCATGCTTACATCCACATTCTCAGAACAAGATGCTGCATCTTATGTTAATAACATCTGTAACTTATTGAATAATGACACTGTTATAGGCACTTAGTATACATGATCTTATTTTATCCTCACAATAAAATCTGTATTCTCTTCATTTTGCAGAAAACTATTTTATAATGATCAGTGTATCACTTAATGACATTTTTAGCTTTGTGTATTTATATTCTTAAGATCTTTTTTATTAGGATTTATCATTTCTGAAACTGATCTGTTATCAGAAATGTTTGTTTTTAGTACGAAGGTACGACTTACATCTGTTTCCTGAGTGGTAGGAAAAACGATTGAGTAGCCACCTGCAGAATACATCATAAGCTGTCTTAGATAATTTAGTTATAAAATTGGCTGTCCTTCCAGAAATTGCATTTTAATTTATTCCAGGAGCTATTATATATTGAAAGGCAAAAATTTGATGTTCTTGATAGTGAGATAATTTTCATTTTATTATGGCAGATAGACTTCCCACATCTGTTGCCAGTGCCTGTTTTTAAAATGAGTCCAGTAGAGGCGAGTGCAGCTGAATGTAGCTCTAGGCTATTTATTTAGTCATCAGATGTTCTAGGTGCAAGTGCTTAGTCTTGGGATTAAATAGTCCTGTAGTGCTCTTTATTAATTTAAATAATTTCAACCTTAAATTTGGTGCTAGCCTGGAGATTTAAAAGAAATCATGCGGACCTTTTTGAAAATTGCGGTTCTCCTACCCTAATTACTGCCTCATTTTCTCTGTTCTCACTTATCTCAGTTTTTTTCATCTGTGAAGTGAACAGGTTGAACTAAATGTTCTAAAGTAGTCTAGCAGTTTGATCCTGTCTTCTGTTTACTTCTTCATACAGCTCCCTTTACTTACTTAATCTGCACAGTTAAGCATAATGCTTTTTTTTTTTTTTAAGATTTTATTTATTTATTTGACAGAGAGAGACACAGCGAGAGAGGGAACACAAGCAGGGGGAGTGGAAGAGGGAGAAGCGGGCTTCCTGCTGAGCAGGGAGCCCGATGCGGGGCTCCATCCTAAGACCCTGGGATCATGACCTGAGCCGAAGGCAGACACTTAACCGACTGGGCGCCCCAAGCATAATGCTTTTGAAGATTCTTAGTTAACTAATTATTCTTTCTTCCCTGGCATGTGCTTTGCTCTTAAATTCCAACTGACACCGACTCATCCATTGTACAAACCAGCAGCAGGTTTGTGTAGTTGTTAGTGAACCCGGAGGTATTTCTTTTTTCCTCTTTTATCTATGATAGAACAAAACAGGTTCACGATACTGCCTGATAGAAATAAGCACATGAAGAGCTGCTCAGCACCATTAATTGTTAGAAAAATGCAAATTGAAACCACAGGGAGATATCAGGACGTCCCCATGGAATAGCTACACTTAATGAGACTGACGATACCAAATGTTGGGAAGGATGTGGAAGAACTGGACCTCTCTCATATTGCCGTGGGAATGCAAAACGGTGCAGGGATATGAAACCAGTTCAGAAAACAATTTGGCAAGTTTTTCCCTTTAAGTTAGACATAACACTTATGTGATCCAGCAGTTCTATCGCTACATATCTACCCAAGAAAAATGAAGACCTCTGACCATGGAAAGACTTGACACATCATGCTGGAGTATTGTTCATCAGACCCTTCCAAGTCTGTTCACTTGTTCATTCAGTATAGATGCGGCACGTGTTGGCTGAGTGCCTCATGTGTGTCAGGAACTGTTGTAGGTGCTGGGGATGAAATGGGGAACACTGATTTCGCTTCTGTTTATTCATGTCTCACTTTGTAGGAGTTCCACTACATAGAAGAAGATCTATATCGAACAAAGAACACATTGCAAAGCAGGATTAAAGATCGAGAAGAAGAAATTCAAAAACTTAGGAATCAGGTATGAATGAGTGTTCACAACTTGGGAAAAGATACCATTGCAAAGCTAATTTTTTTTAAAGGATATAGAAAGACCTTTTCCCATATTTTCAACGGAGTTCTGCTGTTACAACAGTGAGATGTTACTTTCAATCTGATACAGAATTTTCATCTAATGCCATTTTAGTCTGTGTTTGCTGTATTCTATGGCTTCTTCATCTAGAAGTGTCTTCTAGCCAGAGCCATCCGAGGACACGTGACTTACCCCAAAATTTCATACGTTTGGTTGTGCTGATTGCCAGTTTCATAATTATCGTTTCTCTTTCCTAAGAAAAATCCAATGATAAATCTTCCTATTAACAATTGATAGGTCTTTCATAAAGGCACCAAGACTTCTTTTTAACTCTGAAAATGTAAAACATGAGAAAGAACATGTGCCCACCACCCAGATTTACCAATGCTTATCATTAATTGTGACAAAATCATGCATCCACTTACCCTGTAACTCTAGCTTGTCCTTTTCTCCCTTATGTTCACATTGTCCTTTATTCCTTATATTTATTGACTTACTAAATAATGAGCTCATTGATCATTTAAATAATTTACATAAAAATTGAGTCTTCATTTTTTAGTTAGTTGCTGACTTAGTTTGAACATAAAAAGTCAAATAATTTTAGTTTTTAAGTTGTCAAACTTCATAGTAGTCCATAATTTAAAATATTTTAATTTTTGTAAGAGTTGGGAACATCTGATTTCAGTGTTCCATTCTTCCCTCACCTACCTTTGTGAAGTGCTTTTAAGTGGTAACATGACTTGTTAGCAGAAAGTCAAAAGAAAGGACCATAAACCACCAATTGGTTTAATCCTTTTACATTCCTTATTTATTAAATGTTTTTTGAGTGCCTACTAAGCGTAAGATATTGTGCTATTTTTGTTACTTAAGAATTAATCTTAGAGGGATATTTCTTAAAGATTTTTTTATCTAAGAACAGAGGAAAACCTTTGTCTCATAAAAGGAAGTTGATTTATACAATTTTAAAAAGAGATCAGCATCTTCATACATTGCCAAAAACAATAACAACCCATAAACGAGTGGCCAAATACGAATGTAAGTTGGTGCTCAAAATCATCAGTCATCAGGGGAAGCAAATTAAAACCTCAGGGGGATATACCACTCTACTGATACTCACTAGAATGGAATAGTATCCCTGAACATCATGTACAGAGAGGTGTAGCAATTTGTCCAATGTCAGATAGCTAGAAAACTGCTGAGCAGAGGTGAAAACCTCAGTTTGTGGCCTTTGCACTGTGCCGCAGCTGCTGAGTTATGGAGGGTTTTGAATCCCGGTCCAGAAGTTCACACTGTCTGTGGATCGATGCTTTCAAATATCTTTGACCATGATGCCACAGTAAGAAGTAAAGTATACCTTGTGTCTCGATACTCACATGTACTTAGAAATTCAACACTAAACAAAAGTTTCACAGAACAGTACTCTTACATACTATGTGCTGTGTACTCTCTGTCCTATTCTGTTCTGTCACTATTTTAAAATGTGGATTGTGACCTACCAAATTGATTTTGTGGCCCGTTAATACAGTTTGAAAATCTTTTCTGTAGACAGTGAGTTTTGAGAAATTGAATGATGCTACACTTTATTTACATGTGGGGATGTAGATTCTATGTTGTATGACTTTTACTTTATGTAATAATTTTATGAACACTTTGCCTTTCAGCTTACTAACAAAACTTTAAGCAACAGTAGTCAGTCCGAGTTAGAAAACCGACTCCATCAGCTAACAGAGACTCTCATCCAGAAGCAGACCATGCTGGAGAGTCTCAGCACAGAGAAGAACTCTCTGGTCTTCCAGCTGGAGCGCCTCGAGCAGCAGGTGAACTCTGCCAGTGGAAGTAGCAACAATGGGTCTTCCATTAATATGTCTGGAGTTGATAATGGCGAAGGTAACAAAAAAAGGATTTGAAAAGAACATTGCATTGCCTTAATTTCCAACCTTGCTAATTCAGACATGACTTTGAAAAGTTACAGAAAGACCATTTTTATTTGAAAAGAAGCTCCATCCAGCAAAGCACTGCTTTTCTCCTGATGTGAGGCCTGAGCCATGCACTGTTTGACATGATCTTTAGCAAACGGGACAGTGGACTCCAAGTATGGGACTTGGAGAAGGGAGACCTGAGGAACAGTGATCATAATGAAATACGTAGGACATTGAACAAGATATTGATGACAAGGCAGATAATTTGGCAGAAAGGGGCTTTGGGGGAAACTTAAAGGAAGATTTGTTTTAAAAATCTTCTAGTCCGTAATTATGAATATTAAAGTTAATAGTCACATAAGTATATCCATGCTCTATAATTTCAATAGAGAAATCTGTAGATTCCCAAAATACATAATCAAGAAAAATGTTAGATTTCAGTATAAGCTTCAGCAGATCAGGTATTTAATCTTAGAGCTTCATAAAGTCTACAAAGTAGTCATTCAGCAAATCTCTCAGTTCTTTGGCTTTAAATTAAAAGTTTTTTTAAGGGTTGCCTGGGTGGCTCAGTCAGCTAAGCATCTGCCTTTAGCTCAGGTCATGATCTCAGTCCTGGGATCGAGCCCCTCGTTGGTCTCCCTGCTCAGCGGGGAGCCTGCTTCTCCCTCTCCTTCTGCCACTCCCCCTACTTGGCTCTCTCTCTCTGTCAAATAAATAAATAAAATCTTTTTAAAAAAATAAATAGAAGTTTTTTTAAATTTTTTAAAAACTTATTATTTTATATATATATTTTTTGATAAAATGGTTGCTGTCAAAAGAAATCTCAAAAATATAATAAAATCATCCAAATAATCTGTTCCCCTCAGATAACATTTTGGAATATCTCCTTTTAGACTTTTTTCCTATATATGTTTATATGTTTTATTGGTTTTTAACTTTTCATATAAATCAATTTTTTTTTTTTAAAGATTTATTTATATATTAGAGGGGAAGAGAGAGAGAGGGAGGGAGGGAAAGAAAGAGAATCTCCAGCAGACTCCCCACTGAGCGTGGAGCCCAATGCAGGGCTTGATCTAACAACCATGAGATCATGACCTGAGCTGAAATCAAGAGTCGGACACTTAACTGACTGAATCACCCAGGCACCTCTAGAGCTTACTTACTTTATTTATTTATTTATTTATTTATTTAAAAAAATTTTTTTTAAGATTTTATTTATTTGCGAGAGAGAGAATGAGAGAGAGCATGAGAGGGAGGAGAGTCAGAGGGAGAAGCAGACTCCCTGCTGAGCAGGGAGCCCGATGTGGGACTCGATCCCAGGATTTCAGGATCATGACCTGAGCCGAAGGCAGTCCCTTAACCAACTGAGCCACCCAGGCGCCCTCTAGAGCTTACTTTAAAAAACAAAAACAAAAAAATTCTGGTCTGTGACAAAATAGTCCAGAAAAAGATCCTAATTAATATATAAGAATTAAACATATAATAATCTGTCAGAAATCAGTGAATCATTATGGTGCTAGACTAGCTGGTGAGCTGGGGGGAATTTGTGTAAAGTTAAACCTTCATTTCACTTGCACACAAAATTAATCCTGTCAGATTGAAGAATTAAATATTAAATCGAAACATGGAAAAACTAGAAGAAAATTATGGTATTTCTGATTAGAGAAATGTTCAGTCTCACTAGTAATCACACACACCAAAGAAGGCAAAATAAAGCACTTTATTAAAGTCCCAAATGAGGTAAGGTGATGGTAAACTAGAAGGAGGTCTGCAGGAAGAGTTTCCAGGCAAAGAGAAGAGCAGGTGCAAAGGCCCAGGGGTAGGAGCAGTGCTGGCATGTTGCAGGAACAGCAAGGAGGCCAGTGCAGCTGGAGAAGACTGAGTGAGGGGGGAGAGTAGTCAAAGGGGAATTCAGAGAACTTGGAAGAGACTGTTTTGGCCTGTGTACGGACTTTTACTCTGAATGAAGTAGGAAGCCATTGAAGGATCTGGAGAGGGGTGACTGACTGCATTTTAGCAAGATGCCTCTGGCTGTTGTGTCCAGAATAGACTGCAGAGAGCTGAGTGGAGGCAGGGGACCAGAGAGGAGCCATCATATTAATGTGTGTGAGGGATGGTGGCAGCTAAAACCCGATTGGGGTTTGCAGGGGTTTATTTTAAAGGAGAGCGGGTAGATTGGTTGTGCAGTTTGAGAGAAAGAAAGGAGTCAAGGGTTTTGGCCGGAGCTGATGGAACAATGTTGTCATGTACTGAGATGGGGAAAATGGCAGGGTGAGTAGGTTGGCAGGGAGGGCAGGAAGTCAGAATCATGGTTTTGGGCACCTGAGCTTCAGGTGATGTTAGACATCCAGATGGAAACAAAACAGACGATTAGATGAGTCTGGAGTTGGTGGTCCAGGCTGGAGATACAAAGCTGGGAGTCATCAGCATTGTAGAAAGGGTGTCTGGCCTCACTCTTGCTAGCACAGGAAGAAAGTGCTCATTAATATTGACTCTTGGCAACACTTGGTATTTGTAAACTTCAATTTTTGCTAATTTCATGGGGAAATGATTTTTTTAGTTTTTTAATTTTTATTTTTGTGGATATGGAAGTTTAAATATATAACAAATTTATCTGTCTTTTCTTTATGGCTGCGTCTTCTTTGTGTAATGCTTAGAAAGTTGGCCTTGAGAATTTCTTCCATTTATAATACAATAATATATTCAACTATAATTTTGTTAGGACATTGCTTTTGGTGTTTGTACATTAATTCATTATTTTCTTGTTTAAACAGGCACACGGCTCCGAAATGTTCCTGTTCTTTTTAATGATACAGAAACAAATCTGGCAGGAATGTATGGAAAAGTCCGAAAAGCTGCTAGTTCAATTGACCAGTTTAGGTAAGCAAGGGCAGTAATGATGAGTGAGGGATTTGTCAGCTGTTTTTGTACCATTTGCTGGTGGCTTCAGTCACAGTGAGTCCCTTCAGACAGAGCTGATATTTAGAGTGATATTTCCCTATTTCCTCTCACGATATTTCAATCTCATGAGATGCTCTATGTGGTCGGCCAGTGCTTGTGTCTCACTGAAGATGATTAACCCTGATCATTTCTCTTCTTTTTTTTTAAAATTTTTTATTGTTATGTTAATCATAGTACATTACATCATTAGTTTTTGATGTCATGTTCCATGATTCATTGTTTGTGCATAACACCCAGTGCTCCATGCAGAATATGCCCTCTTTAATACCCATCACCAGGCCAACCCATCCGCCCCACCCCCCTCCCCTCTAGAACCCTCAGTTTGTTTCTCAGAGTCCATCATCTCTCATGGTTCGTTTCCCTCTCTGATTTCCCCCGCTTCGTTCTTCCCCTCCTGCTATCTTCTTTTTTTTTTTCTTAACATATAAGGCATTATTTGTTTCAGAGGTACAGATCTGTGATTCAACAGTCTTGCACAATTCACAGCGCTCACCATAGCACATACCCTCCCCAGTGTCTATCACCCAGTCACCCCATCCCTCCCACCCCCTACCACTGCAGCAACCCTCAGTTTGTTTCCTGAGATTAAGAATTCCTCATATCAGTGAGGTCATATGATACATGTCTTTCTCTGATTGACTTATTTCGCTCAACATAATACCTTCCAGTTCCATCCACATTGTTGCAAATGACAAGATCTCATTCCTTTTGATGGCTGCATAATATTCCATTGTATATATATATACACCACATCTTCTTTATCCATTCATCTGTCGATGGACATCTTGGCTCTTTCCACGGTTTGGCTATTGTGGACATTGCTGCTATAAACATCGGGGTGCACGTACCTCTTTGAATTCCTACATTTGTATCTTTGAGGTAAATACCCAGTAGTGCAATTGCTGGATCTTATGGTAGCTCTATTTTCAACTTTTTGAGGAACCTCCATACTGTTTTCCAGAGTGGTTACACCAGCTTGCATTCCCACCAACAGTGTAGGAGGGTTCCCCTTTCTCTGCATCCCCACCAACATCTGTCATTGCTTGATTTGTTAATTTTAGCCATTCTGACTGGTGTGAGGTGGTATCTCATTGAGCTTTTGATTTGGATTTCCCTGGTGCCGAGTGATGTTGAATACTTTTTCATGTGTCTGTTGGCCATTTGGATGTCTTCTTTGGAAAAATGTCTGTTCATGTCTTCTGCCCATTTCTTGATTGGATTATTCTTTGGGTGTTGAATTTGATAAGGTCTTTATAGATTTTGGGTACTAGCCCTTTATTTGATATGTCATTTGCAAATATCTTCTCCCATTCTGTCGGTTGTCTTTTGGTTTTGTTGACTGTTTCTTTTGCTGTGCAAAAGCTTTTTATCTTGATGAAGTCCCAATAGTTCATTTTTGCCCTTGCTTCCCTTGCCTTTGGCGATGTTTCTAGGAAGAAGTTGCTACGGCTGAGGTCGAAGAGGTTGCTGCCTGTGTTCTCCTTTAGGATGTTGATGGACTCCTGTCTCACATTTAGGTCTTTCAACCATTTTGAGTCTATTTTTGTGTGTGGTGTAAGGAAATGGTTCAGTTTCATTCTTCTACATGTGGCTGTCCAATTTTCCCAACACCATTTGTTGAAGAGACTGTCTTTTTTCCATTGGACATTCTTTCCTGCTTTGTCAAAGGTTAGTTGACCATAGAGTTGAGGGTCCATTTCTGGGCTCTCTATTCTGTTACATTGATCTTTGTGTCTGTTTTTGTACCAGTACCATACTGTCTTGATGATTACAGCTTTGTAATAGAGTTTGAAGTCCAGAATTGTGAGGCCACCCAGCTTTGCTTTTCTTTTTCAACATTCCTCTGGCTATGCGGGGTCTTTTCTGGTTCCATACAAATTTTAGGATTATTTGTTCCATTTCTTTGAAAAAATTGGATGGTATTTTGATGGGGATTGCATTGAATGTGTAGATTGCTGTAGGTAGCATTGACATCTTCACAGTATTTGTTCTTCCAGTCCATGAGCATGGAACGTTTTTCCATTTCTTTGTGTCTTCCTCAATTTCTTTCATGGGTATTTTATAGTTTTCTGAGTACAGATCCTTTGCCTCTTTGGTTAGATTTATTCCTAGGTATCTTATGGTTTTGGGTGCAATTGTAAATGGGATCGACTCCTTAATTTCTCTTTCTTCTGTCTTGTTGTTGGTGTATAGGAATGCCACTGATTTCTATGCATTGATTTTATATCCTGCCACTTTACTGAATTCCTGTATGAGTTCTAGCAGTTTTGGGGTGGAGTCTTTTGGGTTTTCCACATACAGTATCATATCATCTGCAAAGAGTGAGAGTTTGACTTCTTCTTTGCCGATTTGGATGCCTTTTATTTCTTTTTGTTGTCTGATTGCTGTGGCTAGGACTTCTAATACTATGTTGAATAGCAGTGGTGATAGTGGATATCCCTGCCGCGTTCCTGACCTTAGGCGGAAAGCTCTCAGTTTTTCCCCATTGAGAATGATATTCGCTGTAGGTTTTTCATAGATGGCTTTTATGATATTGAGGTATGTACCCTCTATCCCTGTACTCTGAAGAGTTCTGATCAAGTAAGGATGCTGTACTTTGTCAGATGCTTTTTCTGCATCTGTTGAGAGGATCATATGATTCTTGTTCTTTCTTTTGTTAATGTATTGTATCACATTGATTGATTTGTGGATGTTGAACCAACCTTGCAGCCCAGGGATAAATTCCACTTGGTCGTGGTGAATAATCCTTTTAATGTACTGTTGGATCCTATTGGCTAGTATTTTGGTGAGAATTTTTGCATCCATGTTCATCAAGGATATTGGTCTGTCATTTTCCTTTTTGATGGGGTCTTTGTCTGGTTTTGGGATCAAGGTAATGGTGGTCTCATAAAACGAGTTTGGAAGTTTTCCTTCTATTTCTATTTTTTGGAACAGTTTCAGAAGAATAGGTATTAATTCTTCTTTAAATGTTTGGTAGAATTCCCCTGGGAAGCCATCTGGCCCTGAGCTTTGTTTTTTGGGAGATTTTTGATGACTGCTTCAATTTCCTTAGTGGTTATAGGTCTGTTCAGGTTTTCTATTTCTTCCTGGTTCAGTTTTGGTAGTTGATACATCTCTAGGAATGCATCCATTTCTTCCAGGTTATCTCATTTGCTGGCATAGAGTTGCTCATAGTATGTTCTTATAATTGTTTGTATTTCTTTGGTGTTGGTCGTGATCTCTCCTCTTTCATTCATGATTTTGTTGATTTGGGTCATTTCTCTTTTCTTTTTGATAAGTCTGGCCAAGGGTTTATCAATCTTGTTAATTCTTTCAAAGAACCAGCTCCTAGTTTTGTTGATCTGTTCTACTGTTCTTTTGGTTTCTATTTCATTGATTTCTGCTCTGATCTTTATTATTTCTCCTCTCCTGCTGGGTTAAGGCTTTATTTGCTGTTTTTTCTCTAGCTCCTTTAGGTGTAGGGTTAGGTTGTGTATTTGAGACCTTTCTTGTTTCTTGAGAAAGGCTTGTATTGCTATATACTTTCCTCTTAGAACTGCCTTTGCTGCATCCCAGAGATTTTGAACAGTTGTGTTTTCATTTTCATTAGTTTCCATGAATTTTTAAAAATTCTTTAATTTCCTGGTTGACCCGTTCATTCTTTAGTAGGATGCTCTTTAGCCTCCATGTATTTGAGTTCTTTCTGACATTCCTCTTGTGATTGAGTTCTAGTTTCAAAGCATTGTGGTCTGAAAATATGCAGGGAATAATCCCAGTCTTTTGGTAAAGGTTGAGACCTGATTTGTGACCTAGGATGTGATCTATTCTGGAGAATGTTCCATGGGCATTAGAGGAGAATGTGTAATCTGTTGCTTTGGGATGGAATGTTCTGAATATGTCTGTGAAGTCCATTTGGTCCAGTGTGTCATTTAAAGTATTTCCTTGTTGATCTTTTGCTTAAATGGTCTGTCCATTTCAGTGAGGGGGGTGTTAAAGTCCCCCACTATTATTGTATTGTTGTCGATGTGTTTCTTTGCTTTTGTTATTAATTGCCTTATATAATTGGCTGCTCCCATGTTAGGGGCATAGATATTTACAATGGTTAGATCTTCTTGTTGGATAGACCCTTTAAATAGGATATAGTGTCCTTCCTCATCTCTTATTACAGTCTTTGGTTTAAAATCTACTTTGTCTGATATAAGGATTGCCACCCCAGCTTTCTTTTGGTGTCCATTAGCATGGTAAATGGTTTTCCACCCCCTCACTTTCAATCTGGGGGTGTCTTTGGGTCTAAAATGAGTCTCTTGCAGACAGCATATCGATGGGTCTTGTTTTTTAATCCAATCTGATAGCCTGTGTCTTTTGATTGGGGCATTTAGCCCATTTACATTCAGGGTAACTACTGAAAGATACGAATTTAGTGCCATTGTATTGCCTGTAAGGTGACTGTTACTGTATATTGTCTGTGTTCCTTTCTGGTCTATGTTGCTTTTAGGCTCTCTTTGCTTAGAGGACCCCTTTCAATATGTCTTGTAGGGCTGGTTTTGTGTTTGCAGATTCCTTTAGTTTTTGTTTGTCCTGGAAGCTTTTTATCTCTCCTTCTATTTTCAATGATAGCCTAGCTGGATGTAGTATTCTTGGCTGCATATTTTTCTCATTTAGTGCTCTGAATATATCATGCCAGTCCTTTCTGGCCTTCCAGGTCTCTGTGGATAGGTCTGTTGCCAATCTAATATTTCCATTGTAGGTTACATATCTCTTCTCCTGAGCTGCTTTCAGGATTTTCTTTGTCTCTGTGACCCGTAAGTTTTACTATTAGATGTTGGGATGTTGACCTATTTTTACTGATTTTGAGAGGGGTTCTCTGTGCCTTCTGGATTTTGATGCCTGTTTCCTTCCCCAGATTAGGGAAGTTCTCTGCTATAATTTGCTCCAATATACCTTCTGACCCTCTCTCTCTTTCTTCTTCTTCTGGGATCCCAATTATTCTAATGTTGTTTCGTCTTATGGTATCGCTTATCTCTCGAATTCTGCCCTCGTGATCCAGTAGTTTATCTCTCTTTTTCTCAGCTTCTTTATTTTCCATCATTTGGTCTTCTGTATCACTGATTCTCTCTTCTGCCTCATTTATCCTAGCAGTCAGCACCCCCATTTTTTATTGCACCTCATTAATAGCCTTTTTGATTTTGACTTGGTTAGATTTTAGTTTTTATTTTTCCAGAAAGGGTTTCTCTAATAACTTCCATGCTTTTTTCAAGCCCAGCTAGTATCTTTAAAATCATGATTCTGAACTCTAGGTCTGACATCGTACTTATGTCCGTATTGAGTAGGTCCCTGGCAGTTGGTACTGCCTCTTGTTCTTTTTGTTGAGGTGATTTTTTCCGTCTTGTCATTTTGTCCAGAGGAGACTAGATGAATGAGAGAACAAAATGCTAACAGGCTAACAACATCCCCAGAAAATATACTCTAAACAAATCAGAAAGACCTGAAGCTGGGGGGGAAAGAAAGAAAAAAGAAAAAGAAAAAGATAAAAACAAACAAAAACAGAACAAAACAAAAAACAGAATATGATCAAATATGATCAGGCTGGTACATAGATCAGTGCCACACACTAGATTATGGGTGTATTTTGGTCTGTTAGAAGAAAGTGCCTCCCAAAATTTTAAAGAAAGAAAAACTTACATATGTACAAAAATAAGGGTTGATACGATGAAGGGATGGAATATGACTGTAAAGATGAAAATTATAAAAAATTATATAAAAGGAATTGGTAAGATAAGTTGTTTGAAAAAAGAAAAAGGATTAAAAAAAAAAAATGTGATCAGGCAGGAGACTAGAACAAAGCCATACACTAGAGATTTAGGGTATATTTTGATCTGTTAGAAGAAACTGTATCTCAAAATTTTAAAGAGAGAACAACTTATATATATATATGCCAAAAATAAGGCTAACTACTATGAAGGGATAGAATATGACTCTAACAATGAAAAATAAAAATGTTTTTTTAGAAAAGGGATTGAGAGGGTGCGCCTGGGTGGCTCAGTTGGTTAAGCAACTGCCTTCGGCTCAGGTCATGATCCCAGAGTCCTGGGATCAAGTCCCATATCGGGCTCCCTGCTTGGTGGGGAGTCTGCTTCTCCCTCTCACCCTACCCCCTCTTGTGCTCTCTCTGTCTCTCTCTGTCTCAAATAAATAAAATAAAATCTTTAAAAAAAAAAAGGGATTGATAAGATGTTGGTTGAAAAAGGGAAAAAGAAAAATTCAAAAAAAAATAAATAAATAACTTTGAAAGACTAAAGAATCATGGTAAAAAAGCCATGAATTCTAATGTGCAGTATTCCCCTAGCGCTGGAGTTCTGTTCTCATTGATCGGTAAACTTGGTCTTGGCTGGCTGTTCTTGCTGATCTTCTGGGGGAGGGGCCTGTTGCCGCGGTTCCCAAATGTCTTTGCTGGAGGCGGAATTTCCCCGCCCTTGCCGGTCCAGGCTAAGTAATCTGTTCGGGTTTGCTCTCGGGAGCTTTTGTTCTCTGCGAGCTTTCCGTACAGCTTTGGAGGCCGAGAGTGAAAATGGCGGTCCTCCCAATCTCCACCTCGGAGGAGCCGAGAACTCAGGGCCCCACTCCTCAGTGAGCCCCCAGAGAAAAGCAGTCAGTCACTCCCGTCTCCCCGGTCTCCGGCCGCACTCCGTGCTCACCCAGCCTGTGACTGCGCGTTTCTATCTCTGGCACCCGACCCCGTGTGGAATCTCCAAACCCAGCAGATCCCTGTGGTGTGCTCCCACGCCGCTCTTCCTGGGGGAGGAAGGGGAGTCTCCCCGGATCTGCCACTTGTTGGGTCCCTGCTGGAGGAGCAGTGGCCCGACTGTGCCGTGGATCACGGCTTATGGCCACCCCGAGCTGAGAGCCCGCGCCTCGGCTCCATCTCTGCAGCCGGCTTCCCCACTCCGATACCTGGGAGCTCTGCCACACTCAGGCACCCCCGGTCTTTCTGTGACCCCGAGGGTCCTGAGCCCACACTGTCCTGCGAGGGTTCCACCCCCCGCTTAGTCACTGGAGTGACGTGCCTCAGTGGAGCCGACTTCTAAAAGTTCCGATTTTGTGCTCCGCGGCTCTGTCACTTGCCAGAAGCGGCCGACGGAGGCCCCCTCCCCCACCATCTATTCTCCTGAATATCGCCTCAGATTCACTTCTCCACACGTCCTACCTTCCAGAAAGTGGTCGCTTTTCTGTTCAGAGAGTTGTTGCTCTTCTTTTCTTCGATCTCCTATTGAGTTTGTAGGTGTTCAGAATGGTTTGATCCCTATCCAGCTGAATTCCTGGGACCAGACGAAATCCAGGTCTCCTACTCTTCCGCCGTCTTGCTCCCTAACCACATTTCTCTTCTTTCTATAGTAAACTCTTACAAATTTCAGTGAGAAAACCTCTATCTCATGTAAATACATCCATTGGAATATTTTCTTTCATTACTTTATCATGTGATGACAATAAAAGATGCCAATATGTACAAGTAAACAGTATTCGTTTTAATATATACTTTATATATACTATGTAAGTAATGTATCATTTGTATACATGTTATTGTATATGTGTAACTTCTTTACACTAGCAGATATGCACCTTATGAAGAAAATGTTTTAACAGTATATGTTTGCCTTGATAAACTTCATGTTTAAATAATCCACTAAACTCTTTTGCTTCTTAGTGTTTATAATTAAACACAATTATAATGAATTGTTGCAAAATAGAGCAGTCTTTTCTTTTTGTGTCAGAATAGAGCTGTGATGTTAAAAATCAAGAGGATGATTTGCTTAGGTTCTTGAGGCCATGGACCAAAGATGCCATAGTCGTTATGTCCAGATTATTAAGCACATTTATTTCAACTATTCATTTATTCAACCTATATTATAATTTTTAGAGAAACTAGATACAAGGCATTATTCTGATGGCAGTGAAAGAAGCAGAAAGGCCTAGAAGAAAGGTGTGTTTTGCCTGTGTGTGTATCTATCTTGACTGGGAAAAAATGTTGCAAAGAGGCATGAGTAGTCAGGTCTGGACTTCATGTTCTTCCCACATTTACTTTAGTTAAGTGTTTACTTGAGTTTCTGTAGTTCTCAGCCTTTTCGAAGATGTGTCGGTGCACCAGCTTCCAGATTAGCTATTGCAAGTTTGTTAACCAAACAGACTCTTTTTCCTATTCATGTGTTGACGCTTGCCTTCTCTTTCTTCTAACTTTTTTGGTCTCTAAAAGAAAAATTATTTAGAGTTTGCCTCCTATAGTTGTAGCTGAAGAATTAAGGGAAATAGATTGTATTTAACAGTCAAGCCACAAACAGTAGAGAAAGTATTTACTGTGATGTTTCCATATGGTTATTTTAAGTAGTCATTTAACAATCTACTGTAAAATGATTTTTCTTTTATGGTGGCCACATAAATAGTTTAAATGAGAGAAATGCTAAAAAGCATCATTAGCTGTGACCACAGGAAGATGTGCTTTGAGTGTAACTGTTTTCTCTCCTCCCCCCCTCCTCACCTCCATTTGCACAGCATCCGCCTGGGAATTTTTCTCCGGAGATACCCCATAGCACGAGTTTTTGTAATTATATATATGGTAAGTAAACTTATTTGAAAAAATAATGCTACAGTTGATTTTTAACAAGTTTTTTTCAGCTGCTGATCATTTTGACTAAAAGTCCAGTAATTAGTTTTGAAAGAAAATAGAACTCGTTTCTGGTCATTAAAACTTTTTTTCTCAAGGATGCAAGTAGAGTTATAGTTATTACATCTAAAATATAAATTGCTCAAAGGCTTGTCCTACAATAAATTTACCTGGAATGCAGTTTAATAGTTCCCTCCACTTCTGAGCCCCTCTAATGACAAAAATATGGTGCAAAACAATTGATTTCATTTTTATGTTGATGTAAAGTTTCTTTGATTATTTTTTTATTATTTTTGTTTGTTTTGCTTTATATTCTGAAAGGATCTCAAGGCTGATTTTCATTCTTTCCAATTTCTTAGCTCTAATACAATGGTCACCATGGTTTGGGATACTGTTTCATGTGTCCTTTGACCCTAAAAAGTCTTCTAACTGTTCTGAGTGAGGACATCTAGTTGAGTTAAGACAAGCAGTCTTCCTGAAAAAGAAAAAAGCTTACTTAGAAAGAAATTTCTATGTGATCCACTAGAGGGAAGAGTTACTCCTTCAAATAAAAAGTTTTTTAAGAAGTGAGGGATGGAGAGAGGAAAAGAAACAAATGGAACAGCATCAAGAAGGTTTTAGAATAGGCGCCACACAGGTGGATTCCCGGTGTTGGAGATGATAACAAACACCTGTGCCATGTGTCATACTCAGCGCTGTCGTGAGGGAGCTAGGGCACGTTCCTCACTGTAGGTCCTGTGCTAGACCCTAAATCAGCCTCTGAAGCCTGACACATTATTCCTGTCAGGAATGTCTTCCCATCTCCTCTTCACCAAATCATGGCTAAACCCTTTTGCAAAAACACTCACCATGACTCTGTTCTAAAAAGCCTTTGCAACCAACTTCATGTATATCTAGCAATTTTAATCCTGGCATCTACTCTGCATTGTAATCACCTGATTGGTTATTTATGTGTACCCATGCATATTATGAATGTGCTAACGACTTTGATAATTCTCAACTGAGAATTGTGTAGGTATCCAAACCGTTACCCTCCATTGCACTTAGCTCGTTTGTTTGCATGTTTGTTTCTTCATTATTTATCCAGTAAACAGGTACTGGGCCCTTGCAAGGTTGCAGAGACCCAGTGCTAACCACAGGACTGCAAAGACAAGACATGGTTCCCGCCCCCAGGGTACGACACAGTGGGCCTTTGGTGAAGGTTGATTTATTGGCTAATCTGTAAATTGTTTTCTCTTTCTTTAGGCTTTGCTTCACCTCTGGGTCATGATTGTTCTATTGACTTACACACCAGAAATGCACCATGACCAACCACATGGCAAATGAACTGAGCCCAGTTACTTCAGTGATTGGTTGTCTTTTTTCAGACTTGGGATCTGCAAAAGGACCCATTGGCTGAAATTGCTGAGAATGGTGCACAAGGTTATTTCATCACTACAACCTTTTAACTCGTTAAGTTATTATACAAGTGCTCTGCTACCTAAATCTTCCTCTCATTGCCTTCAAATGGTAAGAGTTTCTAAAACAGACAGACAATAATTTAATAAGCTCAGCTCTGCTTTTTCTGAAGTCAGAGGTTCAGTGTATATTTGTACACACATAGACCTGCTGGGTTTGTTCACCTCTGTACAGACCATCCTATTTTAGGTGACACGCATTATGGGTTATAATCAGGGAAACTAATTGTATTTAGTGATACAAATAAAATGTTTTCTTTTTGATAATTCAGTCTGCTTTTGTATTTTCATATATTTAGCTTTGCAAATATGGATTTACTTCTTACATGTTAAAGACTTGATTGGTATAAGTTTTCGTATAAACATAAATAAAATTTACTGTGCATTTTTCTTTTTTATTTTATTTTATTTTATTTATTTTTTAAAGATTTTATTTATTTATTTGACAGAGACGAGGAGAGAGGGAACACAAGTAGGGGGAGTGGGAGAGGGAGAAGCAGGCTTCCCGCCAAGCGGGGAGCCCGATGTGGGGCTCGATCCCAGGACCCCAGGATCATGACCTGAGCCGAAGGCAGACGCTTAACGACTGAGCCACCCAGGCGCCCGCATTTTTCTTTTTTAAAGTAATAGTTTCTCATCCCCATTAAATAGGACCTTTCCAAACGAACTGTAGTGAGTAGAGCAGAAATCAGCAGTGGCGTCACGTGTAAGTGATTCCTGGTGCTTTGCCCCTGCTCCGTTGTATGCACCTCTCCCTCCCATCCCCACCGTACCAGCTTCCTCTGCTTCTTACACACCCATTCACTGTCCTCCTCTTCTCCTTTTCTCTAGCCTGTACCTTGGGTTAGCTCAAGACAACCCTGCTTGTCGCATTTAGGAATGAAATCTGTTTTATCAACCTTTGCACTTTTAAGACACTCCGTGCAAAGACATTGCAGAGTTATTCTCTAAAAAGAGACATTTTCTTTGCTTTAATTCAGTATAATGTCTCTTTTGGCTTTCCTTTTCCTCCACATGTCGGAATTCTTATTTTGTCCTCTGATTACTGGTGGTCTTTCTTCACGTGTGATTAATACATGTAGTTCTTGGGCAGGGGTGTAGTTCTTCGTATCAGGAATGTTGTTGAAAACGTCTGCTGGTGCCCAACTGAAAACCTGACCAGAGTTTCTGTTCTTAATGACATCTGTACTGTGACTTCAACTGACCTATACATTCTTCAAAAGTTTTGATACCCTAGGAAATGTATATGTTTCTTATTTTTCATCAGAAAATGAAGTTTTGAAGGTCATCTGATGTAGGCTTGAGCTTTTTCTCAACTTAGCGTGAATGAAAAAGGCAGAAATGCCACATCAGCTAAAAGTAGAGATGAGAGATTGGGGGTAGAGACGCATTATTCAGTCTGCGGGTTTATGTCACCGTTCTTAACTCGGGTGCGATGGCCTGTCAGAGTGGAGCTGTGAGGCCAGGGTTGATCTCAAACAGGATAAAGTAAAAGTTTAGTCTTACTGATATCTTTTAAAGGTGATTTTTCCTCTCTTCTAATTTGGAAAAATTCCTGGAAAATGATTAAAACCAGGTTACGTAACTTAAAATGGAAAACAGCACATGCTTCATCGTCGTGTCCTGCCAGACTTCCCATCTCTGTGTGTCCTCCTGGCTTTTGTAGGGATGCCTCTAAATCTTTTTTCAGTCTTTGCACTTTCTTGGCTTTGGAAATAGTTTGACAAAGTGTTTCCAAGATTATTTTTCTAAAGTTACTTTTTAACTGAGTTTCAGTTTCAGTATTCTTAGCCACTAACAACTGGGGAATTTTAAAAAGTGTTCCCTTTCATTTATCCTCAGCACGAAACCTTGACCTAATTAAAAGGATTGCATGAGAGCCAATCGTTTTCCTTTTCTATCCAGTGTATTCATTTAAAGACGTTATATATATATATACATATATATAATACATAGAGTGTATAATATACATACATTATATATATGTATGTTAACATATATTATCAGAACTCTTATACTGCTTTGTATTTATAGCTATCAGTTAGAAAATAAGATTGTTTTATTATTATAAGAATATTTCTCTTTCTCTAAACTTTGTGCTTACCAAAAGCTATCATTTCGGTTGCTACAAAACAAAACCATCAAAGGAAAAGCATGGGTTTTGTAAACACATGTTAAACGGCCTGTTTGGTGGAGGAGGGGATAGGCTGTCTGGAGCTGGGCAGTCCAGCCTCAGCTTAAGAAGCCTTAAGAATCCAACTCACCCTGTGGAGGCAAAAACCCAAACTACTCGAATATGCCTCACTGGGTGCTAGCTGTCTGTGGCAAGAGGCCGGCTGTATTGGAAAAGGCCCGTATGGGCACCTTGGTAGGATGGAAGTAGAAGGAAAGAACTGTTAAAGCCAAAGAGCATAGTCAGGGACTGACGGCCTAAGGCAGGCTCTTTAGGCTGTGATTGGTCAGAGGAAAGAAATGATTGAGGAAAAATGTCTTAGTAGTTATGCTGAACATGTTTAACTAGTACTCCTATTAACTCTTTCCTGAGTGAGAAGAACACAGAGTAAATGAACTTCACACTTCTAAGACTCAAACACACAAGACCTCAAAATAAGTAAGTTTTTTTTTTTTTATAAGAACATGTCAGCGTCAAGTGTGTTACCTTCAAAGCCTTATTCATAGAAGATATCTCAAAGAAAAAAGTGAGTGCTCAAGTTTTATTTTAAGCTATAATCAGGCTACAAAGTAATTCAAATTATGAGTGCCTTGTGTGCTAATCCCTTCTAGGAACTGGGAGTAGCAGGGACCAAGTCTCTGCCCTGGTGGGAAGGCAGACCAAACATATGCATAACATGACCCTTGATAATAAATGCTGGGAAGAACAATGTAAAGGTACAGAGAGAGGTAGGGGAGGGGACCGGGGAGTCCTCTGCAGAAGTGACCCCAGCACAGGGCCTGAGTGCAGGGGTGGGCCGTGCGCAACCCAGTGGGCTTCCTGGGCATAGCTTACATAAGGGCAAAGCCTCT